AAAAAAACAATTGATATGCTCTAGTCTAGAATAAAACATTACTTTTCCTGGACTAAAATCGGTAATTTTTCAGGAGTAGTAAAAAAGAAATGCCATACCTGAAAAAAGGTGTAATCGGTATGACAACACGTACACAGATGAGATAGAGGAGTGTCTGCAAAATGCCTTTATTTTCCTCTCATCTGCGATATTGCGTTATTGGACCCTCCTGCGGTTGTTATCGTTGGTTCGATTGCTTAGCACGTGTCTCCGTTACGCGCTCGAACTGTAACATTAAGTTTGGATTTTTTTTTTTTTTTTTTTTTCATTATTGGAGTGACAAACAAAAATATGCATACGTGAGATCGCACATTTAAATCGCTGAGACGCTTGAAATTTAAACTAATTCGTATGCATTGTTGCTTTGGAGCGTGTAATGAAAAAAAAAGGAAAAATCGATATTCGAAAAGACAGAAAAAAAAAAGAGTTACTCGTAGAAGCAGTATTTTTTTTCCCCTACTGGAGTCGTCACGTGAAACAAGCGTGCAGCGAACGGACCTTGCGGAATGCCAGCAATTGACACGATTTCGCTGACAGATACATTGTAGTACTATATACACCGAGAAGCCGTCGATGTATACTATATACACGTACATGACAGTGTCCGCGTCAGTTTTCACACCTAAAAGAGTGGACATGTACGCAAGCTCGTGCTTTTTTCTTTCTTTCTTTTTCGCTGCACGCCTAACGAGTATAATGACACTTTTACCAAAATAATGATACCCTCAAACGCGATCAATGTCATCACATCTCCCCTACAGCGTAAATAGATACTGCTCTCAATGAAAGTCTGATGAAAGTATTTGTCACTGCTATACGACACACAGTTTAATCGAACTTAAAAGCTACAAAGTCCCGTGTACGTAAACATGATACATCGGATACAATTGGGAGAAAAAAAAAAAAAAAAAACCCGTTATAAAATAACTGCTGTGGCCAATGACGAAAATGTTTCCGTCCAATTAAAATATGAAAAACACAGGTATAGTAGTGAAATACACTTGAGCAATTCGGCCGGACTTACCGAATGATCAAAGGGAAGAACGACACATTTTTCCACAGAGCGAGCGAGCTTGGAAAAATGTAGTTACATCAGCTCGGCAGAAGAGTAGGAAAAAGAAGAAGAAAAAAGCCCAACAACACACGCGATTAATCCGACAAAACGCAAAGCTCCCACACCTCCTCTCTGTCCCAGCCACTGCCCAACTTTGTGCTTATGTACCCTGTATCCATATTATTTTGCACTCTACTATGGTACAAGTACACGTAAATTAGTATCTCGTGTTCTTTATCCCCTCGGTTGTTTTTTTTTTTTTTTTTTTTTGTTTTTTTTTTTTCTTTTCCTCGTTGTACTTGCGTGCACACACTACACACGTATGTACGATAGCCGAGCAAACAAACAAAGCCACTGTACTGAAACGTATGCTGTACTCACGAAAAAAAGCTCCTGTAGCTTGCAACGAGTACATGAACACAGGACAAGAACCTACTGTGCAAGCACCCGTGGCTACTGATACAAACAAACGAAAACACACACGTAAACGCGCATCACTCCATTTTGGCACATCATCCAATCGGGGGTACAACAATGATAATGTACAGAAGGAGCGGAGCCATAGAGGAATACCCCGTAACCCACCCTCTGTACGGAGTACTGGCGCACACAAGTATATAACAACACAAGGAGCCACCAGCTGAGCGTGCTTGACGCGACCTCTTGAAAGCACTGCGTGCTTCGATAACTCGGAGCTTTTTTTGCCCTACACCTTTAGTAAAAAAAAAAAAAAAAAAAGGGCACACGAAGCCTACCCTTACTCTTCGCCTTCTTCTTCTGCCTCCCGTGTGGTCTTGGAGCTTCGTTGTTGCAGCAGAGAGCTTTTTTCCTTTTTCACTCGTAAAAAAAAAAAACAAACAAGAGAAACAGGCCAGACAAAGGGACAATATACACGCGCGGACTTTTACGGATAACATACGTATAGAGGCAAACAGCTGTAGGCGGCCGAGCGCGAGCGAGTTGCAGCGAGAGAAAGAGCTGCCCAGCCGTGAATGATATTAAAATGCCTCCTACTCTTGTATTTGTACGCTCTCGGGTAACACTTGAGCTTGCACTGTGCGTGCGCAAGCTCCCCGGCACCTATATACGTATACATATGCGCCCATGGGGTGTCGCTGGGCGGAAAACTTTCGATCGATATAAACATAGGATTGGAAGCCCACACGTTTGCTCCTATACTCGCATGTGTAATATACTTATGGGGTATTTAATGTAAGGTGTGTATATACATGTTGGGTCCCTCTTTGTCGAGCTTGCGGATCGAAGACATTTTTCGGTTTGCGAGGCTGCTTTTCAATGTGTACCTATATACACTGTATTACGTTAATTTGCTTATGATGATTATTCTCTAGGGTATACAACTCGTATAGATGCGACGATCGAGATTATCTGACCGTAGCTCCGAGGCGGGGAAAGAGCTTGCGGCGATACTCGTGTTGTGTATCTTTTGTCGCTGATGGATCTTATTTTTATTTCGTTCACGATAAGATATTCAGGGGGGTTTTTTTTTTTTTTTTTTTTTTTTTTTTTTTTTTTTTTTTTTTTGTTTGTATTTCCTCATTGGGTATTGTCGATTGAATTGATCGCACTGGCGACGAGAGCCAGCGGTGCTGAATAGAATCCGTAGAGACGCGCGTCCGGTGATGATCGTTTAATTTGCAATTGTAATTTTTATGGCTACGGATGAAAATATTCCATAGTACTTTATGAATATGAAATAGTAGGCACAACATATTACATCCAAGATTTTATTTCAACGGAGAATTAAAAAAAAAAACAAAAAAACAAGATTATTTCGTGTTGGGTACGTTAGAAGTAAAACGATTGTTTGGTATCGCTTTGAACTTTTGTCCATCAATATGTAGGTATATCTCTTTATGTCTATGTGAAATGCAATGGATACAATTATTATCGATACAGATAACGTGAAAATAACCCAACAGATTGTCGACCCACATATTGTATAACGTGTATATTTTCATTTATTTTTGGTCGCCGTACCATACTCACTTCTCGTTTTTCACTATTAATTGTTCTCTAACAAAAGTGTTTATATCCTCGTCAATTGTTTCCATTTAAATTTTTACCGCAGCGACCGGAAAACTTGAGATCGGTTTTTTTTTCTTTTTCTTTTTTTTTTTCGTTCCCAATTAACGAGCAACCGCACAATCTCCATTTGTTAATCGTATACTCTCGTCACGCCGACAGTTTCCATTAGCTTTATTTTTCAGGCTTCGCAGTTCATCATTAGCTTCTTCTTTTTTTTCCCTCTCTCTGCGTAACAGTAGCATGATTGATGCAGCGCGAAGAAACGTGATCACTGATGCTGTACCTATTTGAATTTTTTTTTTTTTTTTTTTTTTTTTTTTTCTCGCGTACATGTAGTTAAACGCGTCATCCCTTTTCGAGTGGAGGGTAAGGGAAGAGAGTGGGGATGGTGATAAAAACGCGTAATATAATGACGCATCGTCATCTCGCGTGACAAAGGCATCATATTTTGCTTTGCGTGGCTTATGTAGCGAATTCATAAGATATTAACCGAGGTGTGACTTTAAAGCGCAATTTTAAATGTGCAATAAACGAAGAATATTCGCAATCGCGGTGTTAGGATTGTTTCCTGCTTTGCCTTGTATCCGTCGATAAGCGTTATGATATACATGCAGATTATACGCGAATAAAATAAATAATAATTAAAAAAAAAAAAAAAAAAGGACAACACACCACATATGGCGTGATAAAGCGTTTGATATACCTATGTGTATAGTGTGAAAGCTCGCAGATAATGTACTCAAGTGGCTCGAGGTAAAGGGGTATTCAGTCAGCTTCGATAGGTTTATTTTAGTTTTTTCGAGTATACCCATTGTATCGTTCATCGAATGCTATGTATTTTTACATGCAACACACTTATTTCTTAAATTTTGTTCATGTAAATACAATTGTAAATTTGAGGAAAAGCATTTGCACCGCAAGCTCCGAAAAAATGTGTCAAAACAAAAATCCTGATCGTTACTATAGGGTGGGGGCGGCGCAGTGTGACGCAGGCCAGTCAATTATTATGATTTGCAGTCCTGAAAATTCGCATACAGTGTTATTCGGGTATGATACACAACATATCAAAAAAGCACCCTTGAATCGAAACTTTTTAATTCAGGAGTAATTTGACTGGGCTATATGTACACGCAATATTTAATTTACGGTCAGCGCCAATCTAGCGGCCTCGATTTTTTTGCTAAAAGTGGGCCCCTTAGGCTCTAAGGTATAAAATATACGTGAAGTTATGTGTAGTAATTATAGTAATCACTACTAAGTAGTGCCATATGGTCGATTTTATTAAACTATATAAGTGGAATATTTATACTTTTGGAGGTTGATTTTCGGGTAAAAGATAAAGTGTATACTTGCCGCAAACAGCACAGACAATATTAATTTTTAACTATAGTCGTGATTACTATAATTACTACACATAACTTCACGTATATCTTACATACACCGTGTTCTCTTTACCAAAATGATAAAATCAGAACATCTTTACCGACTAGTCTATCGTGTCGGTATGGCAGGGAATTTACTTTATCGTCGGCACAACAGTACCCTTTAATAAATATTTTACCGGCCGTCGATCAAAACAAAAAATAGAGGCCGCTAGATGGCGCTGACCGTAAATTAAATGTGTGTACATTTAGTCCAGTTAAATTACTTCTGAATTAAAATTTAAAGTTTAGATTCGCGAAGGCTTTTTTGATAAGTATATTGTAAATCATACTTACTCGAATAATCTTGTATGCAAATTTTCAGGACTGTAAAATATCAGCGTCATTGAAAAAACGGAATTCTGAGATTCATTACACGTTTGTAACTATAGACTAGTGACAATTTGAAAATCAAAACATTTGGCAATGCATATTGTGTACTTAAAACAACAATAAAAAAACAGGAGTGTCTCGATAAACGTAATTTTTTATTATTTGTTGTGTGTCGCATGCGAAATTACTTGACTCATAAGGGGAAAAAAATACTTCGCTTCGAACATGAGCAACGTAGGAAAGCCGAGCAACAATTTAAAAAATATTTTGGTGTCATTTTAAATAGATTAACAGATTTAATTTATGCGTGCGTACGTACATCCACAAGTAGAAATAGCTCCAATACTACTGTAACAATTCTTTTCTTACAAAGAAATAACGATTACTTGCTAAGAAAAATGCAGCTGATAAGACTACGATAAAACTGATAATAAAATACATTATATAATGTACGTTTATAACATAGCTTTCTAGTTGAAATCAAATTATTTACATCTGGTTATTACTTGTTTTCAGAAAAGAATGAAAATGGCTCTTAAGTTTTGCAGTAACCTGTCCTTTATGTTTCAAGAGGAAGCAAAGATTATTGACAGGTATCAATTGGCAAGAAATGCTGGATTTAAGGCCGTCGAAACTGGATTTCCATTAGGTTTCACCGTGCAGGAAGTTGTTGATGCAAAGGAACTGGCAAATGTCCAACAGGTTCTCATTAATGTATATACAGGTGATACAACGAAAGGAGAACTTGGATTCACTGCTGTTCCAGGAAAGGAAGAGGAATTTAAAAGTAGCATTGAACAGACAATAAAATATGCAAAGGCCTTGGATTGTAATAAGTAAGTTCTTTAATTTTTACAAATATTTACATAGAACAATAATTGTCTCATGAAACATGGAATCCAGGATTCACGTTATGGCTGGAAAAGTAGAAAACCCAACACATAAAAACGATGCTGTTTATGAAAGTAATTTAAGATATGCTGCCAGCAGATTTGAAACTGAAAATATTATGGGACTTATTGAACCAATTAACGATATTACTGTTCCAAATTATTACATGAATAATTTTCAAAAAGGTACATTTTGTACATTTCTCGCAGCAATGAATACAAAACGTTTCAAAAATTAAATTTCAAAAATTTTAGCCCTGAATATTATACAAAAAATCAATAGCCCTCGTTTAAAGCTGCTTATGGATATTTTCCATTTGCAGCTCACTACTGGAAGAATTACGAATACGATTGAACAATATCTTCCTTACATTGGTAAAAAAAATTTTTTGAGTATCTCACTTAAAGAATAATTTATGTTAATGTAGTTAATTTAATAAGTTAATTAATTAATCTTAGGTCACATCCAAGTAGCTCAAGTGCCTGATAGAAATGAACCAGACACTGTTGGCGAGATAGATTACAAATATGTATTCTCTTTGCTGGAAAAACATGGCTACAATGATTATATTGGCCTAGAATACAAACCACGCACAAGCAGTTCAGATGGACTCATGTGGATAAAAAGTTTTGGATACAATCTCTGAACTGTCAATGCTGTTGCTTTGTATACCATTGTAAATAAACAAAACAATCGAAAGTCTCACTGATAAATAAATAAATAAACTTAACAGCATTGTTAATAAATTTCAAGCACTTATAATAGAGTATAAAAATCTACTGCAAAAACTCTCCTTGATTATAAACAGAAGTTATTATCAGTAGGCGCGCGTGGCCAAATAAATTACCAGTTACCCTTTAAAATAAATATTCTTCTGACAAACTAATACTTAAATAAATATTAGTTAACTGTTATATAATACTTTGATAGACTGGTAAAAATAAAAATTTTTTTGGTAATTTTACTGTACATGGATATTCCATCTTCGTAAATCCTTCTCACTTTACAACAGAGGATTGGTCATCTGATAATAATTCATCATAATGATTCTGATTCTCGTTGTATGTCCATACAATTTTTGACGGAGGTCGTAATTGTCGTGAATTTCTTGATTTGCACAATTTGTTTTAATTAAAATTTTGCATGTCAACATAGATTTGTATTTGGTGTTTACTTACGTTTTCGAATTTTGTTGAACATTTTTTTTTTGATCGAGCAAATTTCTGTTTCGTAATTTCAAGTTATAAGTTGATTCTGCTGGTATCTCCTTATTTACTCGTGTTTTGATTGTTGAATCATCAACCTTATTTAGCACTTTAACCGGAGTTGGGTTTAACAGCTTGCTCTCTTCTTTTGTTATTCTCCCAGAGCTTCTCATATTACTTTCTGTTATGTTGGTTTCGTTTTTATTTCCTTTCTTTTTATTAAAAGCCTGCAAAAAATTACTGACTTACAAATTCATTAACTACCAACAAAAATGTAGGTGCTGATTGAATATACTAAATATTATTAAATTTCAAATTACCAAAGGCGTTTGATTTACCAACGATTTGTCAAACATATCTCCTGGTTGATAAATAGTGTGCAAGTCTTTAGTTACTAATCTTTCTCCTAAAATTAAAATCATAACTCTGAATTACTTAAGTTGAGTAAAAATTTTTTGTCAAACTTAATTGCTTACCTTCCCAAAAGTGTAAAGCTGGTACGCACTTGCGTCCACGCGAACTTGTTGGTATTGGCAAAAGATCAATAGATGTATTGTTCATATTGATAGATTTTTCTAAAACTGTTATGGATGTTTATTTTTATTATTTTTTTTTTTTGCATGTGTAACAATAATTTCAAAATTTTATTAAAAGATTTTAACAAATTTAAGAATACGCTTGTCATTTGAACTACTAAGAATGTTTCTTCAAATTATAAAAAAATTAATCTTTTTTTTTTTATTTTGCTACCTGGCAGTAATTTTTTCCATTCTTTACAAAATTCTTCAATTTTTGCTGGACATCCAGTCCGACAGTGATTCAGCAGTTCCTTTGGCACGACTAAGAAGAGCCCAAATAATTATATTTAAAAAAAATTTTAGTTCAGTAGCTATATAAATAAATTACCATGTTTTGTATCATTAACGCCTCCAACTAGCATAAAGTATTCATTTCTTACAGTTTCAACTAGTGTTGCCGAATGTCTTTTTATTACAGGGTCAGTGGTGAATTTTCGGTGAACAACATGTCCCGCTTCGCTGTAAGCAAGACGTAAATATAAAATATTCCAGTCATCCTAAAAATTTAGTACATTGCAAACTAAAACGAATGGTAAAATACATTACTTGAGTAATTTTCCTTCAAATACCAAGTTGATTTTCTTTTTCAATTCATTTTCATACATGACGCAAGGTATCCAATATGTTAACAACTTTGGATTTTCCTTAGAACCGAATGGCTCACTTTTTAGTGCCTTCTCATTTGTGAGTACTTTTTTTTTCTTCAAGCATAATCTAGACTTTCGTTCTTGTTCTTCTGTGTTTTTGTTTTGATTTTTTGATGATTCTTGTAAAACTTTCCCATTATTCCCATTGGTATTTTCTAAAGCGTCCAAATGTTTTTTTTCACGGCCTTTGTCTACATAACTTGATTGTGACTATTTTAAAGATAAAAATTGGTAAGACATAGTTTATTCAGTCGTATATAATGTATGATTTACATAGAAATCGTACCGTTATTTTTGAGTTATCATGTTCATCAGAAAAATCTTCAGAGTCGTAAGTAAGAAAAGGATGCTTCATCAGATCATCTGTCAATTTATCGTTTTTTTCGTTATCGTCAATATCAATATGCGACAGTTTCTGAAAAATAAAATTGTCAGTAACTGTTTGGAAGGTTTTACAATTGTATTTTTGATGAATAAATAATTACTTGTCTTTTAAGGGGAACATCTTCATTAACAATACTGACATCTGAATAAATTGTTTTTGGATTTCTCGATAAACCCCTAGATTTTAAATCAATATTTACTATCTCATTACTTTTAATAATCGGTTTTGGTCTTTCTGCAACCCGTTTTATAGGAGTTGTTTTATGATTTACATTTTCAGCACCAATACTTTTAGCATAAGTGGTTACAATGCCTAGAAATAAATTTAAAAACTTTATAATTCTTACAACTATTAAACAAAATTAAAAAATGAATAAATAAAATATTTACCTTTCCTATCATCATTACAATTAACATTTTCGACAAGTGGATCATGACTTTTGGGAGTTTGCTTATTAAGAGTGGATCTATTATTTATTTCGTTTTTTCTCATTTGCCTACTTTCATATTCATTTTCTGTTATGCTTATGCTAGAATCATCATGTGGCAGCAATTTTTGACCATGAACAGATTGAGCCAGTTTCTCTATCTGCTTTTCATTTTGAACTTTTTTTTTCCCTGACATACGAGTTTTCACATCTCTGTAACGTTCAGATCTCGTCCTAGGCTTCAAAATATGTTGCACAGGGATATTTGGAATACCCATGTATGCATCACTATCTGAAGAATCAGTCATGACAACTTCACCATCACGACCTGCAGTCTTGGGATGATTCAAATTTCCATCAAGCCGAGACTTTTTATTTGGATCAGTAGATACATTGTCATTTGATTTTTGGCGATTTTCTTCGAGTTTAAAAGTTTCATTTTTTTTCCTTGAACTACTTGAAAGCTCGTCTGCATTAATTTCTTGAGATTCGGAAAATGACGCAATACTACTGCACTTTAAACAATGTTGTAGTTGACATTTAGTATCCATCTCACTGCTTGGCGTAAAAGACAAAAGATATCTTAAACAGTCAATGAGTTGAATAAACTTATCCAAATACTCGGTAGGGCAGTTTTTATCACCGAGATTCAAACGTATCACACGAAGTTTATCTTCTTGTAACATTTCATGTAAATAAGCCGAATACTTTAAATTAGAGCAATTGTTATTCAAGTTTGAACAATCTTTAGAATTGCTACAATCATCATGTTCTTTGAAACCATTAACATCAACTTCTTTGATTTCAGAATCATTTGCCAAGTCTTGTACTTTTTTGTTTACTGTTTCAAATGGTTTGACCGCGACTTTTTCTGTACTCGATTTGCCACAATTCTGGATACTGTCTGTCTGAGATTTTGAATAATAGCCTGATGATGTAGCATTGTTCACGGTAGTATTTGAATGATGCACAGCTTCTTTAGAAACGACATCTTTGTTTTTAGACAAAGTGAAATCGGTTATTTCAGTCGCTAAATCATCATCACTATCAGTTATGGGAGTGGGCCATCTGAATGATAACTTGCAGCCCTTAGCTGTGTAGTTCTTCCATAACTGATGTACATTTTCCCAATCATCTGGAAAACCATTGAAAAATTTTCCACGAACGTATTCTGGTAACTCTGAAATGTGATTATTTTTAGTTAAACTTATATGAAAGTAGTTGAATCGGTATTTTTAGAATCATGTTAATTACCACATCTGTCATCTACAATGTTACCATCCAAAAGATAAATGTGTTTATAAACCGACTTTACTTTATTCCTTGATAACCTCTGCATGATGGGTTTACTCCTAGCTATTTTCCCGCTGTAAATTAATTCTTTGAGTTATAATTTAGAGAGAGTAAGGAAATTAATTTTATGAAGAATGCGTCAATGAGATAAGTCGTACCAGTCTGCTAAAGTTCCTTTTATAATCATCTCCCCATGGTCATTTAGTAAAATTCTCCAGCGTTGGAAAACTCTGTGAGCCTTAGAATCTTGTTGGAAGACACTATTACTATTATCTTGATGAACAGAGGTATTTGACGAGTTTGCATTAGTTGGTTCACTGATTTCCCTCTCAGTATTGCTCCTCTTACTTAGTTGACTCCATTGTGTGCCCTTTGAATCATTTTCAATTGTGACTTTTGGATGATTACAGTACACTGAGGTGACAGGAGGAGGTGGCATAATGGCTCGATCTCTGTCAAAGTCACTTATTGGAAACTTTTTGACACTGGAGGTGGCGATTGGCAGGTTGGTGTATCTCTTAACTACCAGTGCCTTGTGCAAGTTGCTACTGGACGATACAACTTCACTCCCGACCCTCGACACTTGTAGCGATGGATTTGCAGCAGTTGTGTCCATAGTGTCTGCATTGATACTCGATAAACTTGGCCAAGTGGGAGACATACAGTAACCTTGACCCAAGTGAGTTTTGGCTTGTTCCATTTGTTTGATAAATGTTAGCTTCAAACTCCTCTCAAGTTTCTTGTAACGTTCTTCTTTTTGAAGTTCTCCAAATTTCATCTACAACTTACGCTTTATCAAACATTGATCTTTGTGACATAAGTACCACATAAATTCAAATAAATAAAGGTTTTCAGATAACAAAAACAATACGTCACAAAAAGAAAGAAAACAAAAAAGCTTAATTTTTTTTTGTTTCTCTAGTAATATCAACGTCAAACTTCATCATCATTTAACATTACTTGTATTGCTGTTGAATTTAAAAACACAAACGAAAACAAAGGTACTTATTTGAATCATCTGACAACGAAACGTACTGCCTTGAGAATTGAATACAATGCATACTCACACCAACTTCTGAAGAATTGTGATCCATTTATGACCAGCTGAAATGAACAAGTTCTTGTAGGATCGTTAAATAAATACATTCGGTGCACAAAAAAGCATAAAATTGCAACTTATAATAATTCTTGAAAAGCATAAACGCAACAAGTTGCATCGGGTTGCACACGCGCACGCGATTGTTTTCTTTTTCTCTCTCTCTCTCAGAGAGAGCGGGAAAGAGAGTAGGTAACTAGCTTTTGCAGAGTTGCCAAACTTCAAGGTGTTTTTGTTAGTAACACTTTTTCCTCGCAAGGGGTACACACTGTATGGAGGGAAAATTTGAATCGTACAAATATGCGAAACAAACAGCTCAGTATTACCTCAAGCATGGGAAGGGGGGAATAAAGTATTAATCAAGTCTTTATTGTTTCATCAGAGTTTATTTACAATAAATTGGATTATGAATCTCTTTTTTAAAATAACATTTTTTCGGTTATTTACAGCAGACATGGTTTTTGTTTCTAATAGAACGTGCCGACAAGAATAAAAAAAATCGTACAATCGTACGTCATAAGTAAAAAAAAAAAACATCTGCTTAAAAAAAGGGCATCTTATTGCTCTAGTTTTGTCAACTTGAGCATTAACTTTAAAGTTCATTTTGTCATTAACAAAAAAAAACAAAAAAAAAAAACATACATGGTTTTAGTTTAAAAAATATTTTTAATGTTCAATCATAGTCATCGTCACATAATCATACATTAAATTATATGCCTTATTGCACTTACAGTTTTTACTATTTTACTGGAGTTTAAAAAAAAAATATACAATTTATTCAGTAAAGTTTTTGATCCGCGTACAATACACGCTAAGATAATTTATTACAATTAAAATTTAAAAATAATTTGTGACACGTCGATACATTTCAGTACTTGTTATAAAAAGAGAAAATATAACGTAAGTAACTTTGAAAAAACTTACACACTATCATTAAGTAGCTGCAATACAAATTTTAGTCTTGTAAAAGATCTGGCCATAAAGATAATAAAAAGAAAAAATTGCTTTTGTAACGACAGTGCAAATCACAACAGAAATAGAATATTTTTTATGCGATCCGGCACTTGAGATGTGCAATCAATGTAAGTAACATTATTCTGTCGACGAATGTAGACTAGAAACAGCAAAAAGTCGTTTGTCATTTTATTGAACACCATTAACGTTTATAAAGTATTATGAAGCTAATTGATAAAATTAGCTGTATATAAAATGTACATTATATATCATCATCATCATCATCATCATCATCATCATCATCATCATCATCATCATCATCATCATCATCATCATCATCATCATCATCATCATAAATTATGATGTTAAATTGATTTTTAAGTGAAATCACGAATGATATTAATAAGTGAATGATAACAATGGATACAGTTATCAACTTCACGAATTAATAAAATCAAACTTTCAATGAAAATACGCTAAATAAAGTTAAATTAACAAGCATTAAGAAAACTTATCTGAAGAATCTAAGTAGCGAAAATGATAGAAAAAAAAAAAAAAAAAAAAAAAAAAACTACATACGAGCAAAAATAAAGTAGCTTTGATAAAAGCGAAATAATTTTTTTAAACGGATAGAAATGCATTATTCATCATTTTGTTGATTTGAACAACTATTGGAGAAAGCCCTGAAGAAAGGCGTCAAATCGACATAATTATTTCTAGCACATTCGAAAAAAAAGGAAAAAGAAAAAAGTACATTGAACTTGGTCGAAGAAAAAAAGAAAAAAGCCATGAGAAAGTTAGAGCATTTGAGTTTTTCCCTTGCTTTTTTTTTACTTGTACGCACAACACATCGTAGTCTCCTATACAAAGAGTTTGTTTTTTGTTTAACATAAAAGTATTACACTTTTCCATCTTTGAAGTTGATCTTTGTTGACGTAGTATGTTTTTTATGTACATGTAGTATACAATGTATCTGCATGCAGGAGAAGACGGATCAGACCACATTGGCGGGTTCGATGAGCGGCTCGTTCGTTTTCATTTGGGGACCTATGACAGCAGTGCTAGAAAAGCAGTGGCAAGACAGACACACGGTTAATTGGGTTTTCATCATAAGTACCATCTTTTTTGTTCTGTTTAATAGGATAAACACGCGTTCAGCTGCATTTTTTTGATGTTTATTGAATTTTTTTTCAAGTCCTTTATTTCAGGGTAAACAATGACATGATGAAGGTTAATGGTTAATTACTTTTGTTTTAAAAATGGTGTAATATGAGTAAGAGCAAAAAAAAATCATATTTTTTTTTAATTGAATAACCATTTAAAATATGAAACTTGTGTTTTTTTTTTTTTTTTTTTTTTTTTTTTTTTTTTTTTTTTTTTTTACTTATGTTGCAAACGTAATGTATGTTGATTCATGTTTTGCGACTGAACTTGTGCTGTGAAAAAAAGTAATTTCGAAAAATTATTCGTGATCTATTAAACGTGGAAAGAAAAAATAACACTNATTTTTTTTTTTTTCAATTATTTACGCTCAGATTACTTTTACCTCTTTTCATGTCCTCACGAACTCATACTATGAGATCGTTTCTCAAATATTTTACATTCACAACCGAACAAAACAAAAAAAATTTTACAAAAACTTATTATTTTTACTATTTAGTCTCGTAAATAGAGTTCCTTACTGAATCGTTACGTATACTTAGATCACTACTGTACATTATATGTATATTACTTTCTTACAACATATTTTCGGGATTTTTCTTTGATGAGAGGAATAACGTATCATGCATCTACAAACAGGGAAATTAATTTTTTAATAAAAATTATGTCCGTACAAAGCGCCTCTTATCAGGAAAGTAACAAATCGGTGGTGGAATTTCTTTTACTGCTTTGATTTTGTAGTATGGTTTCTAACACCACTTGGAATGTATTTAATTGTAATATGTATGGGGACTAGACAAAAGTGTTTCAAAACCGGCTGTACACATGTTGCGTACAAATATATATATATACAAATAAATATTATTATAAGAATAATCCTGGAAAATTAAAAATCTAAAAACTATTTAAGGAGTTAACAAATACGTAACTTTTATGAGGATCTCATTAAACGTTATAGTTTTCAATATTTTTGTTCTCATAAGCAATACTAAGTAGACTTATATTTTATTTACTCCGTATTTATCGAATATCCTTTCCATTATTTAAGAAAATAATTTGAAAAATAAAGTCCATTGTCTTAATCTATATTTACATGAATGACTTTTTTGTATTTTCCAAAACAATCTCATAAAAGCTCTTTTGTTTTACATAATTATTGGAACGTTTTTCTTTTCACATCTCCAAATTGTTTTTGTTCAATATCATACAAATTTCACCAAATGCAAATTGCAATCAAACAATGGACAAAATGGCCTAAATACATCTTGTTTTGACTCTCATCTTTCACACACGAGAATTTCTTATACAAAGATCGATCGAAATAAAACGCCCAAACCCTTTTTTTTTCTCGCAATCTGTGAAGTCCCAAAAAATAGCCTGTAAATTTTATTTCAACCGCCTTGGATATAAAACACTGCAGCGATGTATGCAACGATTCGATTTATCGAACAAAAAAAAAAAATGTTTTTTTTCCATTGGGCGACCAAAATCGGCAGGCAATTCCTCGAAAAACCCCACAGTGCTTCGTACGGTACAATACCGTATACGATTTCGTACGACACTTGCCGACGATTGCGGACACCAAAGATTCAATTCGGACTTTTTTTTCATTCAAAAGGAGCTCCGGTGGCATTTTTTTTTTTTTTTTTCTTTTTCTCCCCACCTTGCTCTGAAAATTATAACGACGCTGTGACGCCAGCACCTGGTTTTCCAAAGACCGAGCAAACCCACCCCGCAAATGAAAATCCAAACTAGCTCCCTTTTGCCCGCAATCATCGTCAACACACACGCATTCCCCGCGAGCAAACTCCTGTACCTATATGTAGGTATAATATATTATGAGCGCACCAGCACACCGAACTATCCATCAAGTCCAAAGTTCTTATTCGCTCTCTGTTTTTTCATTGGCCATATTCACTTGTTTAAAAACACGGTACTTAATAAGTATACGCGCAGCCACGATCAATGCAACACGGGCGCAGCACGGCGGTGACAATGACGAGACCGCGCATCGGAGTGCATGCAGCTGAGATCGCACAGGTGGTGGTGTAGGTATACATCTACTTATCATAACGGAGCAGGTGCAATGAAAGAAAAGGAAGAAAAAGAAGGAAAAGAAAAGTCAATGGCCTCGAAGATTGTGATAATGGTTGGCGAATGCGACGCAGAAAGCTATGGTCGTGAGTATGTTCAAAGACGAGACAATGGCAACGAGACAGAGGGCGAGGGTGGTGTCGGTGCTGTCGGCGGTGGCGATGGCTGTGGCGAAGGAGTCGCTCGCGAGATCCCGAGACTACCAGATACCTGAGCGTATGCCGCGGGCCACGTGGGAGGGCGAGTCGAGCTCGGTCTCGTCGCCGGCGTTATTGTTCCCCGGTGGTGAGCCCCCGCTCCAACGCTGCGTCTCCACCCCTAGGAGCGTGTGCCGGTCCTCGTCGAACTGGCGCTCCGGGAACGTCACGCCGTCGCCGAAGCTGTAACACACAGGGCCCTGCAATGCCTGTCGCTGCTGATGCTCCATATATGAACGCTTCTTCCACCGGCTCACACGACCGCGCGTCCCCCACCCCCCCACCCGCCTCCTTTTGTGCGATAATTTTGTAGATATACCGATCAGTTGGCAAACGTTTAATGGATCGTCATGCCGTTCATTTTGTAAATCGTGAGTGGTCCGTGTGTATGTTAAATTTTCAAACAATCGGGTGGTGTTTATTATTTCACGTTGACAGGTAGGTGTGGCAGAGCAACGATTTTCAACGATTTAATGGACATTAGGAAACCAGGTGCACAATACCTCCGAGGCTGGGGTAACGATCGCGTTATATGGGTGTATGTTAAACATCTAATGATGTCGATTATCGGTACACTAGACTAATTTGTCGAAGAGGCAGGTACTTATGATTATAATGTACCTGCACTTGTACATTGTACTATGAGCGAGTGTGATTTTGTACTTGAAAGTCCGATTTATTTAATGATGATTATTCGCTTCACTCCAACATTACCTAATCTGTGTTTCATGTGTATGAAATGGTACACGTTACATCGAAGCGTGTAGGCATATGGTTCAAATGGTTTTAAGCTCACAATCGTACAATGATCATCGTGAACATGTACAACATGTAATTTCTCTTGTTGGATGATTTGGCGGATGTTTTGGAGTACGCGAATGGTCCATGAGAGTATGGTAAAACAATACTTGGCTCACAAAATAAACGGAACTCAATCGGACATGTAAGTCGACAAAAGCAACCAAACAACAAATGCTCGTAAGAACTATATGCTACAAAATTTCTTCAATATACAACTAACTATAAACATCGTACTTCTAAATTAAATACATACATAACATATAAAATGTCGTACAGTACACAACACAAGAAGCAAACTTGTACACTCAGTTGTATATATATAAATATATAGACACGCAAAAGTTAAGCAGCGAGATAGTCTTGTTAGTTTATGAGTATAAGGAGTTACTTTTATTGCATTTTTCGCGGGAGAAGAGAAAGTTTACAGCAGAGAAAGAGGAAATGGCTATTATACTACGTCTACATTGTTTAAGAGACATGCACATGCTACATTGTTGTACGAGCTTTATTTTGTTTGACATCTTTGAGTTTTAAAGCTTGACACACCTCTCTCACCTCTTTTCATCATCATACGGTGTTCGTGGGTTTAAATTTCTTTAATTTTTTTTACACTGTACTCGCTACAAGGGATGGAAGTATTTTTTTTTTCTCACAATTCAATAATTGACATTAGCGTGAAATAATATAATTATCCCTTACTGCGAGATGTCAGTGCAAACGGTATTAGGAAGGATAATTTTAACGTAAAATCTAAAGCTTAAGATTTATATGTTAAAAAGGAGCTGAAAGCTTGGAAAATAAATGCTAACCTGTTATCGGTACTTCCCATCGAGTTGTACGTATTGGAACCTTGAGGCTGCGAGCGTACCGGAAAGACCACTCCGTTCCCAAGACTAAAACACACATGTGGCGGTAGCAACCCCCCGGTTTTTAAAATAATTCGTTTTTTTTTTTTTTTTTTTACTTATGTTGCAAACGTAATGTATGTTGATTCATGTTTTGCGACTGAACTTGTGCTGTGAAAAAAAGTAATTTCGAAAAATTATTCGTGATCTATTAAACGTGGAAAGAAAAAATAACACTTTTCATTTGTTAGTTCTCACGTTTGTAAGAATAAAAGCATGCACTCGAATAAAATTATTTTTATCTCTCAAAAAAATTTATACTACGATTTGTAAGTTTTACAATAAATTTCAAATACAAGTATCGTTAAAGTAACTTGAATATATATATAGTGTACGAAATACATTAGAAAGTAATTGTTATGAAACGAAACGGACACAACTGCCACAAACTGAGTTGGTTAGTCTATAGAACAATGTATAACAAATATTACCCCATGCCAAGAGCCAATATCGTAGCTCCCTGTACCATAGTCAAGTCGTCTAATGGCGACCTACAGATCATATACGATTATACTGGAATTTTTTTTACATACTTTACACGTGGGTAATTGAAAATGGACACAGTTTCATCTCATTTAATTCTGGGTCACTTAATATGAACATCGGTCAGTTAGATTTTTTTTCTCTCGATTTCCTTTTTAATTTCGTTAATCAAACATGCTTTTACAAAATAAGAATCAACAAAAAAGTGGTTAGTTAAACGTAATTCATACTCGTTATTGAATAAAACATACTTGGATTTAGTAATTACTGAAATGTTAGTAGTGGAAAAAAGCCGTATCGATAATTCGAACGTATAGGTCTAAATGATCATATCGTTTATTTTGTTTCGTATCGTATAGCGAAGAGTTTGTAACGCATAGAAGTATTCGGTTTACATCAGTCATGAATGTGTAAAACAAAAGTTGAAACAAATTATAATTGCGTACAAAAATTTGGTTTTGCGCTTGTATCTCCATACTTTATTTTATCAACATCCACTATCTTCATTGCTTCTCTTAGTTATTGTCGACATTGAATTGTTTTTATAAAATGACAAACATTTTATTATTACTATTATTTATTTTTTTTTTTTTCTTCACCTTAACAATAATCGCGTTTTTTCTTTGTTGTCGAAAATAATATAAAATTTCGTGTTTTCATGAATAAAACAAATGTGGTTGAGGCCATTTCCTGACTTGAAGCTATCGTCGTGAATCATATTTTTAACTTTATGAGGGTCTTGCTTCGATAGGGGAAAAAAATTTGTTCAACAAAATCCCGGAACGTTTCATTCAGAAATTGCAAGCTCCACGAATAATTGTACCCATAGAATTTGGAACAGCCATCAGAGTTAATTGAATTACCAAATTAAAAATTTTTTTTCCCATGACAGGCTAGGGGCCCTTATAGAATAAAACCTTGTTTTTTTTTTAACAAATATTTTTACCTCCGAATAACATTTCCAATTGATCGCACGTGCGAGAAAAAGTAACGTCAATGCAACATTTGCTTAACAGATTTCGAGAGATTAAAAAAAATGTCTTGTATGCTATAACTTATATGTAATGTACAATATATACTTGAGTAATAATAGCATAGCAACAATGAATAAAAAAAAAAAAAAAATACGTAAAGATACATGAGTAATTAACATAAATACTATATGATTGTGCAAAAGACAATATAATACTGTGCAAAATAAATAACTATCAAACGGCAACGAAATAGCAAGCAGTTCAAAGGTGCAAAACCTCATATGATTATTCATTTAAAGGAATGCATGTCATAATGTAAATATATACTGCATATAAAATTTCAATAATATACATGTACAATCGAAGATAAAATATACACAAAAATAAGAAACTAATAACGCGACGTTAGCCATCATTATACGTTACATATTATATACGAGCAGGTATTGTGCAGATGGTCTTTCACGCGTTTTTCATACATATATACATATGTATATATATATATGTGTGTGTATGCAATATATGCACATAACTACTTATAGACGTATTGACACTTGCCATTGTTGTCGTTTCCATGTGGTATTAAAGCGTGTGCACGCGTACTTATTATGGAAACACGAGTAGGCGTCCCGACTGACTAAACTACTGACCCATTTTTGGTCTCTCTGTCGAGCGTATTTGCGTTCATATCTCCGAGAAAAGATCTCCCGCATCGACGTCGATATTATATAATGAAAAAAAAAAAAAAAAGTACGTGTAGGGACGTTAAAGTAAAATAATTCTAATCCATCTAATCAATGGGAAGCGTGTAGCTATTCAAATAAATTTGCTGTGTACTACAAAGGCCTTATTTTTTTTTTCTTCTCTCTATACTTGCTTCGCGCCACGGTATGTGATTGGCAAGGATCCAGGTTTCATAAAGACTCGCGAGTATCTTTGAAAACTTTCTCAGAAGGCGTTTGGATAAATTGACTTCAGAAGAAGTCATCTATGGATACATGTCATCAACTGATTTTTACTAAATTGGCTTGCAATGCGCACGATAATCAATTTTAAACGGAATAACGGAACGAAATATTTTTATAGTGTGGATCCTCGTTCATGATGCGATTATTTTAAAGGCGTAAAAATTAAAGATTATTTCTTAAATGCGAGCTTACCTAGTGAAAACAGGTAGGAACCATAGTCGACTATTGTCACCAAAAACTTCTTGGAAGTTATTGTATCTTCCAAGGCTGAATCCATACTTATCTTTTCCAGTGCGGAACATAGGAGGGTGAAATGCCTCTGTAATCATTGTGAAAGAAAAATTTTTTTTTTTTATTACATAATACATCGGAATGTTGTGTGTTACTATTAAAAAATTAATTAGTATGTACTTCAAGAACAAAATAAAATGATGACAATACATTTTTTTTAATGACAAATTCATAGCATAAATATTATAAAATACATCAGAAATTAATATTTATATGGTAACTAAGCATTTCAATCTAGCAGAAGTAACAAAAGGATTTTAATGTTTTTAATTTATCTATAAAAGAATTTACTGTACTAAAGAATAGTAAACAATAACAAACACATAATACTTATAAATTATTTACCCAATGTCGATCTGTTGTGCCAGATAAGGTAGCAATGGTAGAAGAAGAGAAAATTAAGACTGATCGCAAACATGAGTGCGATAAAAAACAAGATGACAAGGTGAATTTTACCCATTTCTCCTAGTTCACCCTGAAAATTATGGTTTTTTGATACACACGAAAATCCTCTGAATTTCTCTTTCAACACACACATCAGAGTGAATGTGTAGAAGCTAGTGTTATTTTGGATACCATTCTACAATCATTAGCCACACTTACCTTCCAAAATTGTATAAAATATTGCAATGTCGTTGCAACAATAAAAATACAGTACAGAAGAGCATAAGCCAAAAATAACATGAAGAACTTGTAATTGTGGAAGCCTACGCAATTATTCACCCAGGGACAGTGATGGTCCATTTTGAGAACACATGTGCCACAAACGCTGCAATGGTGTGCTCTATCTGGTTTAACCAATTGACACACTTCGCAAAATCTAATTTCTGCAAGATAAAATTGGTTTTTTCAACATACTTTTTTTAACAGTTGAAAACGGAGAAATTCTTTGACATCTATTCATATTACTTCCTGTTATTGTCCAGTTGGTGATTGGCAAGTCTTGAGCAAATCTTTCTAGGACTTGCCTGCGAGCATCTTCGCTCTCTGCTTGCAACAGTTTTTCCATCTCTCCAACGGGAAGTTTAAACTAAAAGAATTCATAAACAAATTGTAAGTCTGTGTGAATAAATCAAAGCAGAAATAAACGTTCCAAGTTCAAAGAATGGCAATCGTTAAAAATCTTATGGTATTTGTGTAACTTGTGCCAATGTTTATACAGTTACATTTATCAAGTGAAATAGCTGGAACGTATTTTCTGCTTGATTTAACTATCGAGATATAACTCAGCTACAATTTGAAAACAAATCATTAATCAAACTACATAGTATAGATGAAACAGAGCTTTGTTTACCTTGTCTGGAACCTTTGCTAAATCCGTGGCTATGGTCTGCCAATAAGACCATATAAATAGGAAAAACAATATATGAAAGAAAACCAAATAGAAAACTGTTGAACAAAAAACATTTGTTAATAAGCAGATCTGAAATGTATGCCAACTTATTAATTCTTGTATAAAATATACCTCTGAGAACAATGTTTTCGATGGTATCTGAAATGGAAAAAAAATAAATACATAACTAAACAAGTTAACAAAAACTCAATATTTACAGAAAGTATTGTAGACCAAATAAAACATGCATTCCCGCGCATTGTAGCTTTCATAGTGATGAAATAGTGCCAGAAAAGCACATAAACTATTTCACAAAGTCAATGTTTCACTCAGTAGGACTAATAAACACTCACAAGCAAAACTATTCAACTACAGTATGTATGTACAATTCATCAGCCACAGCCACTTTGATTCACACCTCATTTGATCGCTTATCCTTCCGATCAAACAAACACAAAAGCAATCAAATTGCTGCCATATCATCAGATCATCACAGTCATCACTTTGAAATTAATCCACTAAACCAAACAAATACTGCACACACCATTGGATGTACTTGTGCACCTTTCAAGCAAAGTAAAGCAAAGCACACGTATAATAAGCATCAGAAAAAAAAAAGTTTAACTCACAAATGCATAGCGGCACCACGTAGGCATAATACGACCAAAAGACGACGGAGAGTATGAAGAGCACGGGTATCCACTTGACCGCGCGGAAGCACCACCAGCACCTTCCGCCTTTTCCGTCCATCCTAACAGTCGTCGTCGTGAACTTGTTCGGTAGAAGCCGGTGCAGTTTTATCGCAGTTGTTGGCTCCCTTCCTTCAGCTTCTGCTCCTTCTCTCTCCTCGTAGTCTTCTTCTTCGAGATAAAAATCGTCACTGAACTTCGATCCTCCTGCAGCACCTGACGAGCTTTTGCTTCTGTTGTTGTTGCTGCTGTTGCTCGAGCCTGACCTCTTCTCCCATTTCTTATAGTAGGCTGGATTGGTGCGATTCACGTTCCAGGGTGACGGCACACTGCTGTGAAGCAGGGGAGCGCCCACTGAGAATGAAAGAGCCACTGCTTCTCTCTGTCTTTCTTTCTCTCTGCAATATGTTGTTTACACGGTAGATCCCACTCTCTTCGAGTACCTATACTATATATTCTCTCTACATCTTAACACACTCTTGACTCTTGTACTTACATGGCAGAAATAATCAGAAGAGAGAGAAATTGAGAATCTTTTATACTCAAGTAGATGTATGTGTATGTGTTTTATTTTTATCTGTCCAGTACTCTGTTTACCTTTTTTTCATTTTTATTAATGCAGTTTATTTTTTTTTCACTTCAACAACCAAAAAGCTATAGGGAAAATGTCACTCAGACGTCACGCGTACCTATAGGCATCGTCTGCATGGGAAGGGAATTAATAATATAATACAATTTGGCTCATAATTAAATATAGAGAAGTATAGGTATAGCAAGAGTTTACATTAATGTCACAAATTTAAATTTGATAATATACTTATTGGGCTATACAATCTATTAGCTAATTACATATTAATTGCACTCATAGAAGTATTAACATTTTATTGAGTGTATTTACTGTTACAATAATTGAATCTTTCATCAGACACAATTTTTTTTTTTTTTTTTTTAATTAATCGCTTACTTAAAGCTCTTCCGGGAAATTAAATTGGGTGAGGTGGAGAGGCGAAAATTTAATTGTTTAACCCGTTAATTACATACTTAATCAGACTAAATAACGTTGTAAATAATGATGTGTGTAGTGAGGATCATCTACTGTCATTCGAGCCACTAATATATTACAACGTTACAAATAAACCTGATGAAGCATGTGTGTTATCGGCTTAATTTTGTCCTGTGTTGATAATTTTTGAGTCAAATAAAATAATAAAATAACAAAAATAATACAACTAAAGAATTAAATAATATTTAATGAATGCAAATGTACGACTAAGTACGTTGTACACACAGTGAATTCATATTTTTTTTTTTATTATTCCGTTTACTATTAGCGCCATCTCGCGAGTCTGATTTTGAACTAAAAAAGTACCATATTTCTTTTAAATAAAGTCACTAGCAAAAGTTACTAGGCTATAGTCTCCGTAGCGGTCCACTCTGCCATAATTAGTTTGCCATCATAATCAGCCTATGCTACAACATTGGTGAAAACAAGTTACGGAATAGGGAATAGGTGAGTGTAAGCCAGTATATATGGCCCATGGTAAGGTCGGGTAGTCATGGGAATGCTATGTTGTAGGAAGAACATTTTTTATGTTATTGAATGAAATAAGGTGTTGTGTAGTGTTTTGTACATTTAAATAAATTTTTTTCTTCTATTTTTACACAACACTACGTGATGGAAGATGACTACTCTACTGTTTATTCATGGTAAATGAACTTTACTGTTTAAATTGGTCTAATTTATTATAAAATGTAATAAACACAATGGGTTTTGTGCATAGGTTATGCTTGTATTCTCTGTTAAAACAATTTATTATTTTATTATTAGGGTTGACAAGAGTGGAATTATTTCAAATATTCGAACACATCTTAGGCGAAATTTAGTAAATGCCCTGAAAAATCGAGATTTGGCGCAAAGATTTGTAAATGCTACTCCAAAATCAGCCAAACAGTACATTTATGATTTACTCATAGCTGAGTATTTGTGGAATCACAATTATGTCTGTACATTATCAGTGTTTGCAAGTGAAGCTCCACTTTTAGTTAATTTTAATAAACACATTAGAACTAGCAATGAGCAAGATGACAGCATTACTGGACATAAACTACAGAATGATTATGTTCATCATACGTTAGAAACTTTAGGCATTGAACCTACAAAAGCCAAAGGTCAAAGTATTATAAAAAACTATGCAGATAATGATATGCCGCTTCTTCTGTGTATATTACAATATATTAAAACAACAGAATATAAGTGTTACAGTAGTGATGAACAACAGTCAAATGTTAAAGATACCAGGGGCATAGGAGTACAAACAACAGAGACTGGAGAAACTATTATTAACAAATTAACCAAAATAGCAATTGCCAAAAAAAAATTATTGCATCAAAAAAATTTATTTGATGCACAATTAAAACAAAAAGAAATTGAATTGAGAGAACAGGCTGCTCTTATGGAAAAGCAGCTATTGTTGTTGCAAGAGAAATTGGAGCATGCACAGGTAATAATTATTTACTAGTCTGAATTTAAAGAATTTCTTAATAATTGATTTTATTGATATATAATTGAAAAATAATATATTTGTCTCAAACTTTAGAAATTGATGTATGTATGTGATCAGAAAGAAAAACAACTCAATGAAGAAAAGCGACAAGAACAATTACGAATTTCACAAAAAGAAAACGAACTAGCTGTGAAAGAAAAACTTTTGTTGCAGGAAGCAAACAGGTAAATAATTTTCTGAATGAAACTTTCAGAATAAAGTCATCAATTTTTAAAAATTCAATTAAACTTTAAAATTGGCGTTATTAGACTGGACAAAGAACGGGATAGTTACCGGCAGTTTGAGGGAAATTTGAAAAAGTTGCAAGATGAACTTACAAAAGCTCAACACGAAGTGACTCACAATAAAGTACAAAACTTGAATCTTAATGTAAATAACGTGCAAGTGCAAACGGATTTTGAGAGTTTTGTGTTAGCTCATAACGAGCGAAACCTTTTGAGCCAAGAGAAACAAGATTTGAATGGACTTGTTCAAGCTCAACAGGCGAGAATAGAACAGTTAACGTCCCGAGTTGTGCATTTATCGAGGAAGTTGGAGGAAACACAACTAAAAAGTACTCGAAACATTGAACTACCTTCTCCATGCATCAAATTGTTAAATACAAATACTGTAATTAGTGAAAGTAGCTCAACAGAAGATATAATTCAAGATGCTAAAAATCGTCTCCGTCGACTCGAGGAGGAAAGCATGCGAGCTGATCAGTATTACTTAAATTTTATCAATAATTCGTCGCACTGATTGTGAAAATTTGTTAAAAAATGTGAATAATTCAGTTTTCAGTATTAAGGGTGTAAAGTACAAGTAAGAATTAAAAATGTTTTGATCAAGATCAAGTAAAACTTTTTATTTTAAAAAAATGAGGTTACACGTAATATAAAAATTGATCACTAGTGGTTTATTTTTTTTTTTTTTTTTTTTTTACTTGCTCAACTCTAAATTACATATAACATTGAAACGTAGCAATATAAAATATAAATCAAATCCCATTCGCCACATCCACTATTTTCTCTTGGGATCGGTGCTTCTCCTAGTGATTCTTGTTTAAGAAAAATACTGTTTACTATGCCTGATATTTAATTCTGCTAAAAATAAAAGGTTAAAAGTAATTGTACAAAATGTGATTTCGAACGAAAGTAGTTATAAATCATACAACTTATAAAATAGTGAGTTAGTACAAAAATGTTGAAATCGATAAAGTTCAAACAAAAAATTTGCAGAGCAAGCTTTTAATAAACGATAATGAGCTGTTGAGTTATTTGCACAGAAAAGGATATTGTTTGTCACGGGTTTCGCGGCCCTCGCGCTCTTGTGTTCGGTCCTTCGCGTACGGCGATTTTTCCTGAAATTACACAGATAATTGTAGATTTCTTGTTTCTCCGTAAAAACTGTTATGTTTTATTTGCTTTTTTCTAATAGTTTTTCTTTCTTTTTTTTTTTTTTTTTTTAGTTAAATCTCCGCTACTCTAGTTAACAAGTATCACCTATATTTTTTCTTGTCATTGTCTGCCGTTTCGTCTTATCGAATGCACTGGAGGCGGACGTATTTGTCAACTGAGGGGCCAAGCAAGGTTTTTCGTTAGAATAAATTAGTTAAGCATCAACATTGATGTATTCAAAAATTTGAGAGAAAAATGAAAAATTAAATGACATGACATGTAATAAGAGACATGCCATTTGAACAAAAGTTGAAACAATATTTTTCACTCTTGCACATTAACAGAATACTCAATAATTTCATCCAGTGCATTGCAGTTAAAATGCCATCCATTCGAAAAATGCATAATGTAATCATAGCAAAGCATATATAAAAAATCACGCAAGTAACTTTAAATTAAATAAAGCAAAAACTGTATAAAATATCATGACGAAGCAATTGAAACAACGAGAAGGGGGAACAAGTAAATTTTCTGTTTATAACGTCCGTCTACCAACCTTAGTATAATGGTGTTTGTCTCTATATTCAGGCATGTCTCCGTTCTGATGAGTTCCCTTTGCTGAAAGGAATTAATTCAACGAATAATCTTTCAAAAAAATTTTTCTCGTATCACGGATGTTTAGAAAAAAAATTATAAGGCACGAAATCAATGCTAACTAACTACATCATTCTTTTTTTTTTTTTTTTTTAATATAAGCAAACATAACAGTCAATCGGATAACACTCTATTATGTTAAAATGAAAAAAAAAAAAAAAATTAATGTAACTAAAATCACGAACCCCTATCGTCATCTTTCCTTCGCTTTTGTTCTGCTGGAACTATCAAATCATCTCGATCCTGTAAAAATTTCGTGAAGATTTAGACTATATAATTCGATTACCTAAAAAAAAGTAAAAATATAAATACATACTCTTTTCCGGCCCAATTTCTTCTCTTTTCGTACTTCTTTTGACTCCTCCCTTATTTTGGTTTTAGATGAACCACGGTCTTTTTTATCGGAAGTTGTTTCCGGTCGTCTTGTTTCCTACAGATTCTTTAATTAATATTTTACAAAAATATGATCAAGCAACTATTTGAAAATAAATTACGAACCCTAGGAGCGTTTTCAATTTTCCTTCGCTTGGGATCTGTTATGAAAAACAGAAGTAAAATTATTAAAAGCCCTATTTACACAACAGGTACTTATTTACCTCGATCTGCGTCAGCTGTTGGCCCTGAGCTTGTGCTGCTGTTTGAAACACTGGAGAGATCTCTGTCAAAGTTGTCTGTATTTCCACTGTAATAATGCTCATCCTAAAAAGTCATTTTAAAATGTTTACCTCTTAACATGCTTCTAACCGTTAATTCAAGTATTTTTTAATATTTCAAACCGTATGTTGATTCAAATAGTTTTTAATAATCGACTTACTTTATAATACTTTTTATCCTTTTTGTCACTTGAATCTTCTTCCTTGTAATCGTCCTTCTTGGAATATTTCTCTCGGATCTCTGATTCTTCTCGACTACCTTCTCTCTTTTTAGTTTTGTCAGAACTATCACTGGAATTAAAAATATGTTTAATAATTAAAGTGAAAAATAGAACACAGTACATTTCAACGAAATAAAAATTCATTACGATTGATTGGTAGGAACAGCTGGTCGTTTTTCCTTGCTATCCTTCTCAGGACGAGAATCAGTGTTGTTTACTTCTTTTACAGCTACGCCATTTGTAACTTTTTCTGCATTGGATTCAGAGTTTGCTGCTGTTGCTTTTGCTGCTTCAGATGATTTAGCCGCCTTTAAGACAAAACGTTTACAACAAGATTGTCAGATGTTAATTTTAATCATAGTAGTATGGGAATACATTTAATCATCCCAAGAAATAAATTTTAATAATACAAAAAAATGTATGAAATTTGCTATATGATTTGAAAAAATTTTTGGATAGTAAAAAATGTAAATAAAAACGATTATCAGACTTTATATGTAAATTTTTAATGTATTACAGGGTATTCATGCCCATTGATGTAAGAAAAAAAAAATGACAAAAATAAATTAAACGTAGTGTAATTGTTATAAAGTTGTTACATAATTGTTGTAGGAGTTTTACATGATAAAAGGTGATAATAAAATAGTGAAATTGGTTTAAATGTGCGCGAAAAGTAAAAGTGCAAAGCCAGTGTCAATTAATTATACTGAAAGATAAATGATTTTAATTGATTTTTGAAAATAGGATCTGTAAGGGTTATAATTACGATTATTACATGAATTTCTATATATTTTTTTTTAAGTTGTAGGAAAATACTTACTTTGTCACTAACGTGGTGAAAGTCTACTTCAGGGATCATATGCGGTCCTCTGGCTTTCAATTGACCAAAATACGAAATGGCTAAAGCATGGAGATCTTGTCTTTTGTTACGTTCATCTTCACGAACTTTATCAACTTTTCGCTCGAGAATTTGAGAAAGCTTGGTCAAGACCGGGAAATGTGGCAAGATTTTGATGAGTATAATCAATGAGTTTCTTATCTGTACGTAATCTTTCGAGTCCAAGCACACAACTATTGCCTGTAAAATTAATGTTCATAATCAAAATGATTTGTAATTTTCAAAACGTATTTATTTCACAACTTACCTTTGTGATTTTATAGTGCCATTTATGACAGACATGTCTGTAGTTTTCAAATCCAACCATGTCATTTGCTTCTGAAAATTGATTGCTTACACGGAATTTGGTAACAAAACCTGGATAATTACTGCACTCCTGTAAAATAGGGCGTAAATTTAAATTGCTTCTTGTGCACCGTAAAAAAAATCATTACGTTAAGTACGAACTTTATCAAAAATAGCTTTCTCAGAGTGCCACCTCATGACAGTTTCAAGCATGGCACATAAAAATCTGCCGTAACGGTTTGCCTCGTTTTCCGTGCATGACGTTACTGAGTAAGTGATATCACAAAATAGCTGAAAAATCATTGATCCGTTAATTCAAGTGCTACAAAGGAAAAATGTTTTTTTAAATTCTTTAAACTCACTCTGTCATAGCAAAGAAGCGTAGAAAAGTTTGCAGTCTTCAAAGAGTGGATGGTATGGACAAACTTGGCACAATACATCGAGTCCACAGTTGTGAAAGTACATCGAGGAAAAAGACACAGCTGTAAAAACTGTGTTATCGTTTCGTTCTTTGCAGACTTTGCACTCCTTGACAAAAACCAAGAATCTTTTTCCTGCCTCAAATAGGCGTGAACCTTTTCAACATGCTCCTCTTGCTTCTTTTTCTCATCTTGTAGTTTTTCTATTAAAGCCGTATACTTTTCCTGCTCTTTCTTTCCTTTGCTTGCAGTCTAAAGTAGTACAGGATAAGTGTTTCTGCAGGACAACTTTTGACAAACAAATTGAAAACTACTTGCCATGTCTTTGGAATCAGCAGCTTGCAAGGCTAGTTGTTTCAGCTTGTTGATCTCACGCTGATAGCTGTCAACGGGTACATACAAGTCGTACATCGACAATGACCAGAACGTTACCAAAAATTGCGGAGAAACATCTTCCCAGACTTTAGCAGGGTGCAGTGGACGCACTGACAGGGCGACTGGAGCCATCACAGCTTGAGCAGCTTCTGCATACTTGGCTTGTTTGATTGATGACGACATTTTTTTGTAGTTGGGATCTGCTTTGCGTAACGCGTCGTACTTGATCTGTAAATGGAAAAATGAGGAAGATCTTGAAAATCTGTGATGTTGCCAAGCAAAGTGATAAGAGTACGAAAGTGACATCTCACATTGATGGCATGAGTAAACATCGGCCTAGCAAGGAAAAATGCTACATCTGAGTGAATGTGGTAGTCTTGGAGCATAGAATGAATTGTTGGCAGCCTTTCAACGTATTCATCCACCGTCATGGTTTGCCCCAGGAAAGTACCGAATTGAACTAGTGCATCGTGACACTGATCGTACAATTTCCCTGTAAAGTAATTGTTAAAACTAAAAACTGTAACTTGAAGTACTCGGTGCAGTATTTGATAAAATTGATAATTTTCTACGTACCAACTAGTTTCAAGTGAGATTGTTCCGTTTCTCGGTAAACAACGCAATGCTTTTGCTGAGCCATTAGTAAGCATAGCGCTACCGCTAAATCATGCTCAGATAGAGCTTCTTTGAGCCGTTGAGATGATTTTTTGGTGTTTCGTACTTGACTGAAATAGCCAGCCTAAAATATTGAAGGATTACAAAAAGCTCGTAACGAAATGAAACATTAGGTAAATGATAAATAATTACTTCAGTACGTAACAAATCGCCACCAGCCATGGCATCAAGTTGATCTGCTGTTAGTTCTTCAGATGCTTCAATGCCTGCCATTTTTTGAACAATTTCTTTTAAAATTAGAAGATCCAAACTGGAAGAAAAATAATCCACATGCTGATGATTTTACATTATGAAAAGAGGATGAGATGTGTAAGAAAAGATGGTTGCTTTACAATTAAATGTTGGTAACCTTTTTTTTTTTTTTTTTTTTTTTTTTTTTTTTTTTTAAAGATGTTATTTAAAAAATTTCTTTTGCAAGTATAAAAAAAAATTAACCCTTCAAGACCTATGCAACGTAATTCTCGATGAACATAAGAGTATTATTGAAAATTAAAAGGGAAAATTGTAAGAGCACCAACTTAAGTTTATTCCTAATTAATCGTCACTTATTCTCGTTGATGATCCATAGAGTGTTCAGTCCACTCCATTGACGAAAACTCACACACGCATCATCTATCCAGTTTTTTTTTATTTCCATCTGGATCCTTTCATTAATTTTTTTTTAATTTAAAAAAAGTTTTTTTTAACAAAAATGAATTTCCCGATTCTCATCTTAGCTTTAAAAGGTAGGAGCTCTAAAAATTAAAAAATAAGATTTCATAAACAGTTTTAAAACCATACTAAAATAAAGAGTAAGATTTCTTACTTTTGACGAGAATTATTTCACCGACGAGATTGAGACGTTCGAGGACCATACAGAGATTTGTTTTAAAATCAATTTCAAGGAAACATTCACAAAAGCTTTCTTTTAAAAAACATACGAACGTACCATTTGCATTTGCATTTACATTTAAATCGATTTTTGATTTGCACGTTATGATGATATTTTTGTTGGGTTAAACGGAAAATAAAATTTGAGAGAAGTTTTCAGTAAGCTCCAGGTATCGCTTAAAAGAAAGAAAAATCCAAAAATTCTTCGTGATACAGTTGCACCAAATTGTCTTCTGCTGTACACATAAGTGCAACATGTTTTACTGATCCTCACATATATTGCACACTCAAAGGCAATATTGTTTTTTTAGTTTACTTATGAAAAGTTACAAATCACAAATGTCACTTCAGTCTTTTGCAATATTAGAAAAACACTGATCATATGAAAGGACAAATGAATGGGTCGCCAGTTGTCTGAACTGGGTGTTGAATTCAGATCGTTGGTCTGTAATTTTTGATAAGTCATTAAAAAACCCTATTAAGCGCGAATCACTACCGTTCATATACAACTCTTGTTGATCTTATCAATTTCAAAATTTTTATTGAACACAGAAATTGAAGTAATTACACTTATTTCGAAGTTTTGCTACGTTTAAGTAAAAGCTTTAGCAATGGGCGTAAAATAATTTTACAATTAAAGAACGATTACTTTCCCTACAAGTTATCACATATTGAATTTCATTAAATTTTATTGGTGAAAAATTACCTTTTTTGAGCCTTCAACATGTTGGCTACATACTGCAGTAGTCCCATGAGTTCAATGTTGTATTTCTTAAAAATAGCTCCACAGAAAGAAGCGAGCGATTGCAACCAGAGAGATATACTAGTTCCATCATGCTTGAAGCGGTTCTTCTCGGCTCCCACAAGTGCTTCTATTAGGCAGTACCCCAAAACGTCGTAAGATACGTTGGTGAGATACTTCAGGGAATCGACCACAGGACCTGTTAATGAATTTATATGAAATTTTATTCATAAAAATGATACTTGTCAAGTAATGTGTAACAGAAAAATGGTTAAAAATCCACACCAACCTATCAAGTTATCATAGAGCTGGATTTGAACGAGAACGTAGTCAAACAGTACACCGGGTGCCGAGTGAGTCAGCTTGCCAATGGATCTGCCCACTGGCTTGATTGTTTCCTTGCTCACTCTCTTTACCACGTTCTTGATTTTCTTCTGTGCATCGGCACGTTTCTTCAGGAGCGCCGCATGCTGGTTCGGCGTATCGTTCTTCCATCTCGCGTAGAGCGCATAACGGTTCTGGTAGGGATAGTACTTGAGGATGTTCCAGATTTCTTCGGCTACACAGCAGTTGCAGTCCATGAAAGACAGAGAGGGTAGGAGAGCCACGTCGAGGATCGTGATTACGTCGCAGTAGAGAGTGACATCCTTGCCAATGGGAAGCTTGTTGGAGTCGAGATTACACTGCTTTATTGCGGCGTTACTCAGGCGCATTATTTTGTACATGAGCACGGGATCGTAATGCAGGTTTGGACCAAGTACCACCAACATGGGAAGGAGGTTGTCATGTATGTCTTCCAGTTGGCTTAAGGCTTTTGGAGCAAGCGGACTCTTCAGAGGTGGCACTTTACGCCCTGGTAGTTTTGGATGGATTATGCAGTGTCTGAAACAATAACGATTGATGTAAAACGTGTTTTTTTTATTTTCACATTGGTGACAGTTATAGATTTTGATACTTACTTCCTGTAAACTGGTTCAATGAGGGCATGGATGATCTTACACAGAGCTAGCGCTATTGGTTTTTGTTCCGTTAGACTGAAGTCGGGGAATCGGTTGAACATTTGCATAGCCACATTCCACGCTCCTACCTCTAAAAGCGCTTCACAAAGTCCAAACTTTTGATTGTTGGTACTCTTGTCCTATAGACGTTGAAATTAAAACAAATTACACCTGATCATTTCACGAACCAAGTCACACAAAAGTTTTTATAAGTTTACCGGAGTAACTTCTTTCTCAACATTTTCATCTTCCTTCTCTTTTGTTGAAATGACGCTCATTTTTTTAACATACTCTTTGGCCAATTTCATTTTGTTATCATAGTCTCGTATGATTATTTTATCGTCGGGAACGAGCCAAGGTAGTATATCGTCTAACATGATAACTTCATGTTGTAGCATTAAGGCCGTAAGCTTGTGTAAGGAGAACGGTGTTGCTTCAGTGGTAGAGCAATACTTGAATCCTAAAACTTCACACAAAACTTGACGATCGCTCATGTAGGAGCGAATAAGAGGAATAAAGACCGAATCGTCTTGTGGTCTGTTTTCAAAAGTTTCAAGTATGATATCGAGGACTCTGTTAGGGTCGAGATTAAAATATCCTGAAATAAAAGAGCAAAGATTTTTTTTTAACTGCACTGATTCATTTGAATGTATGAATTACATGAGTAAAAATTTACCAATAAGGGACTTGACAATTTCTAAAACTGAATCAACCTCCGTAACTTTGTGGTCTTGATTAAGTTCAACAATAAGTTTTGAGTAACCTTCACTTTCTTCTCTGAAAAGATTGAACTTTTTTTGTTTGTAACTGAAATGAGAAATTTTTACTTATAGTTGTGTATTTAGTACGACATAACCATTTGGCAGGAGTGGCTTTGGTAAGAACTTACTAAAGCTTTGTCTTAACTTTGATAAACTTTGTTTGAAAGTTTAAATTCTTCAAAGTTCCAACATCTTGAAGAGTATCGGTATCAAGACGTTCCTTTAAAATTTTGTCTGTCAGGAACTAAAAGAAAAAAAAAATACAGTTAGTAACGGAAATTGGAAGTTTTCTGAGGTATAAAAGTTTTGTTACAAATAATACCTTTTCCGATTCCCTCACAATGAAGTAAAAATTACTTCTGTTTTCTCCCTGAACTTCTGTATCAATGAGCGTAAAAAGATCAACAATAGCTGAAGGTATTGAACCATCAACTGTCTAAAATATTAGAAATTTTATTGATTAATTGCATGTTTATTCAAGTTGAATGATAAAAGTTAAACATACCACAAGTTCACGTAACATCGTGACAATTCCATCTCTGTTGGAACTTCCATAAATTCCACTCAATAACAGTTCGTACAATCCCCTTCTCCATTCTAATACAAAGAACAGTACTAATTAGTGGTAAAATCAACAAACAAGTCAATGGGTGCATGTTAGACAGCACAAAGCATGCATGCATTATCAGATTAAAAAAGAAAAATTTACCTGCTACTTTGCCTTCCTTGTGCTTTAGCTTGATTAGCTTGATGCTGCAAACAGTTGGTAATTGAAAACATTAGTCCCCCTTTCGTATGAAATTCCCCATTGAATCAAAGAAGAAAACCAGAAGAAAGAGCTCTCAGGCAAAACCTCTTTATCTTTTCCTTCTCTTTCCTTTACTTAAAATAAAAAGCCCAACAGACAAGTCGACATGAACAACGAGAGGAAAAACATCATCCAAACTAGACGACACAGTGGTCCGTCACCCAAAGAGCCGGTCGATATACATTTTATAGCGAAATACACCACTAAGGTTATATTTTTGCGAAACGCATAGAGCGTACATATGTACCCTTGACAATCAAGAAGAAAAACCAGAGCATCGACGTCTCAATCGTTCACTTACAATTCGGCTTTTCCCTGTTTATCCTTCCACGAGTCGGAGTTCCACATTTTCGACGGCATCATCATCGGCGTCGCACTCATCTTCGTCGTCGTCCCCGTCCCCGTCTTCGACGGATTCACTATATCTGCACCCCGCTTCTGTCTATTGATGATCGGACGCGAGAGCATTCAATTCACGGATTGTCGCAACAACAATTGTACGCACGAGGCAAACTTGTGCACATGCGACCACTTAGTTTTTGCTTGTTTATTTGTAGTACAATTATTTGTGAACTTTAATTAATGGTTAAAAGGTTGATGCGCTTGAGAAACGACCGCATCGCAGTTGGGCTAGGTTAAATGGACTCCATCATGCCCGACGTTGCACTTGCACACATCTTGCAAAAACTAGGAGTATGTCTGTGTGAGCGTTTGAAAAAAAGTCATATACATAGGTATACATAAACTTGTCGGTGCCTGCATAGCCGGTCGTCACATTCGATATATATCGCAAACTATTAAAAAATCTCCAGAACTGTGATTTGATAACCAAATTCGTTTGACGAATCAGAGCTCTGGATTAGAAAATTGTTTGCGATATATCGAATGCCACAATTAAATGTCTCGCTCTCTCTCAACAATCAACATGTTGTATTGTTGTGTGTTTGTTTAATGTTTTTGTTTTGTTGACTTTGGACTTTAACCTTCAGTTCATTTTAAAAAAATGCTTTTTAACTTCTTGACTAAAAAATAATACGTACAACCTGTACTTGTGGTAATGAACCGTATAAATTATCAGAGATTTATGAAAATTAAAAATTATTTTGTAATAATACTGTAAAAAAACAGATGTTATAATCAAGAAGAAAATCACCGTTCATGCAAACTGAGCATTACTGTCCAATAAACATGCGCGCGTTTGAATCTTGTAAACACGCCCTGACTGGACCATACTCTTTTCGTGATAAACTGCCAATCGGAGAGGTAACGTGCGATTATTTTGTGCTACGAAAATCCGTTTTAATCAGTGTAAATATCATCTCTGCGATAAATATTTTTATAAAATTGATCTTGCAAACCTCCATTGAACGTTAATTTATTGGTATTTCATTCATTTTCTCTCAATTCGTTCGACACAACTCACCGAGAGTCCCACGCGAGAGGTTAATTCACTTGTTTACAATTCCAACTGTGCAGTTTGTGTGGAAGCAATTGTTTTAATTTAACCAAGTGCTAATCGTCAATAAAATTAAAATATTTGGCTCATTATTTCCGTACGATCTCGAAATATACGCTTATGAAGATATTTATATCTCAGTCGTATAGTTTTTGTTGACAGTTGACAAATCCTTGTCTACGCGTACCCTAGTGCAGCAAATACTCGTCTAACGATTCGCGTTTGACCTTTTAACTTAGGAACCCAACAATCATCAACAAGAGCAAGTGTCTAACAGGTCGTGTTGTTGATTTCAGGTCAACAAAAATGCCTCGAGTCAAAGGAGACAAAAAAGCCCCTCGTATTGACGATGTCGTCACGCGCGAGTACACAGTTAACCTCCACAAAAGGTTACATGGTGTGGGTTTCAAAAAGCGTGCACCCCGTGCTATCAAAGAAGTCCGGAAGTTTGCCGAGAAACAAATGGGTACTCCCGATGTTAGGATTGACACTCGCCTCAACAAGCAGCTTTGGTCAAAGGGTATCAGGTGAGTTGTTGTTCATTGTTTTTAAGGGCTCCCAGCAAACACAATTTTTCAATATTTTCTTAAAGAATTGTTGAGTAATGTCTTGTAGACATCTAATGTCCAGAACTGTGAAAGAACCTTGAGAAATCGTGTTTTCTAGATTGTGGCTCCTCAAATTTTTATGTTTACAATGAGCTGTAGCACCAAAACATGAACACAGTTAATAAGTCACATTGCTGTAAAAGATATCTTCAGTTTTGTATTTTAAGCCTATGATGGTACCGTCTTCTTGAAAATTCAAAATGCCAGTTGTGATTTGCAAGTGAATTTAACAGATAAAATTTTGAGTCCATTAAAATTTATAGTGCAAGCTTTCTCACTGTAGTGTACGTATAGTTATTTGAATGGTCAACTGCAATGTGCAACATCATATTAAATGCCTTAGAATCTGTGTTACTACTTTGAACCTTGAATAAGGACAATTTTAATAAATATAAATTTTGTTTTTCAGAAATGTTCCATTCCGTATCCGAGTGCGTTTAAGCAGGAGAAGGAATGATGATGAAGATTCCCAACATAAACTCTACACTCTAGTGACATACATACCAGTTGCCACTTTTAAAGGATTGCAAACAGAAAATGTGGATGCCAGTCAAGATTAGTTATTTAAAAAAAGTATAATAAATATTTTTGACTAGTATCTACTGCGGTTTTTATTTAAATATACATTTCGTAATCTTAATGTGAATTTGTTAATTTTTTTTTCTTTGGATCCTATCCAACCCTCTATTACTGATCCAAATTAAAGAGTCATTACCTGGTATTTTTAAGTACTTTCCTTTTACATTAACGTTGCTTCTTCTATTGTTACATAAACATTAATTTAAAAAACTAATAACTTCTTTAACAGTAGTTCAAGATTCTAATTGAATCATTTTATTGAATAATGCTTAAAAATACTTAAAAATTATTGAACAGTTGATTAAAACGAGAAAATACGTGTACATCGAAATTATATAATTCTCATAGTCAAAATTACAAACTGAAAATCATACAATTCAGAGTCACTTTAAGGATAGTCAAAGGAAAGTTGAACTAAAACTATGATATAACTATACGAGGAGTGAGACTTCCAGCGAGATTTTGGCAATCTCGGAGACTCGCCAACTGCTCATTTTTCTTTCTCCCTCACTTTCGGGCGCATCCAGTCGTCCCTTGAAAAACTAAAGAACCGAGTAGAGCCCCCCCCCCAATGCTAAACTGATTAAGAGTGCCTCTCTCTCTCGCGCCAACTGATGAAATTACACTGGAACTCTCCGTAGTGCACACAATCGTCCTAATGTTACACGTGGTAGTGTGGGGGATGATTTCCTCGCATTTCTTTTTATCAAGCTTTATATATATATACGTAGCTATGTAAGAGAAAGGACCACCCCCTGCAGTCGGTAGTCCAGTTTCGCGACCCCACAAGAATTTCTCCTTAATAGCCATCCAACTTTCATCCTTTTTTTTTTTTCTTCGTCTCCGTGCTTTTATACGAGTTTCGGAAATCCAACTTTAGCTCCTTTTTCGGGGTCCGTGCTTTTTACGACCAAGAGGACGCACAAGGTACGTTAACTGCCAGCAAAGGGCCGAAAGCGTGTAATGAAGGCGATTGCAATTTTGATAATTACCCCTCGACAGCCCGAGGCAATTGTCTCGCTGACGCTACCGCACACTGTTATTATCATTGCCAATTTTTGGAATAACGTCGAATAAAGTAATCTCATGAATGTATACACGTTGAACGCACACTCACAGTCAATTCAATCAACGTATACATACGTGTGACGAATCAAGGCGGTACGTATGGCAATTTCATTTAACCCGTGGGCGGATCAAGTCGCAAATAAAACAAGGAGGGAACAACAACAACAACAACAACAGACTCGTACAAATTGTCGTGGGAAAGATCATTTCGGTGCATACATGGCAGTTGTATGCACACCAGGCCATCAGCCACTTGGAGGCTCAATCATCGATTAGCGAGTACAAGTATCACGATAACCCACACGTAAAAGGCCCAGAAAAAGCCAATTAATAAATAATGTACAGGAGGAGAGATGGTACACTATATAGGACGACACCTTCGTGTATATACTCTGCGAGTTACGAATAAAACCCGCGCCGGCGGGATGTATTAAATTGCTCGTCCTATTCCTCAAGGGGTAACTCTGGCGTACAGGGGGGGAGGGGGATGAATGTTATTTAATCAGAAAGCCACGCGTCCAGCACGACCTTGTGGAAGACTATACGTGGACGGTCATACGTTGCTGAGGTATATTATATCGGGTGTCAAGCGCTTGGGGAGTATAGGTTTGTTTTTATTGCTCGCGATACGTTAATTGCGAGTATACAGGGGGGGGGGGATCATTATTGCTTCGGCGTTTGACTTTACGGGGGTATACATGTATAAACGGGAATTCGCGTGGGCTGATTTTTTCTTGGTCGTTACATTATAAGCCGGAGTAGAAAAAGAAAAAATTACAATCATGTCGATTGAAAATATATACGTGATTCCGTATAAATAACCGACGCAATCGTAACAATTCCAATTGTGTGAAACATATGCGTGTACTGCAATTATGCTGAAACGAGTGGAAAAGTATAAAGACCACTTGTGTGGAATACACGCGTCAGAGACAGCATGTGCACGTAATATATCTCAACCAGATCCCAGTAAGTATAAGCACACGGGCCAATATGGTTGCGAGCTGTCGATAGAGACAAAAGGACGAAAAAAAAAAAAAAAAAAAAAAAAAAAAATTGGAAAAAAAGGTACAGGTCCACGCGGGTGTAGAGAGGAAGAGGGGCCACGTGTAATCACGCGAGTCACCTATACGACAATGTAATACAGAGAGAGAGAGAGAGAGAGAGAGTCGGTGGCGGTGATTCCCTTGAGGATAGCCCGTGAGCGCGCGCGTGTCTGTGTAATAGGTGTATAACGTGAGAACAAGTGCACCGGCTCTGTCGCAGGGATACGAGAGGGTGGCTTTTATTGCCCATACGCGCGCTACCGTGTCTCATATTTCTTACCACCCACCCCCAATTCTCTTTACCCAAACTTTTGTTATGAATTAATTTTCACACGTTTTATTTGTTGGTTTTTATACGTATGACTGCTTCCCCCCTACACATGGGAATGCCTTTTATTTTTTGTTTGTTTCCGACAAGAAATACACACGTATGCCGAATTACACGTAACGTATGATTTTTAGTTTTAGTTGCTGACAAAGTAGGTATGTGCGGGTGCTACTCAAAAGAGTCGTCTATGAACATCTTGGATTAAAAGAAAAAAAAAAACTTGGCGGAGACTCGAAAGTGATGCCTCGGGCAGCGAGTGACGAGATGACAGACTGGGGAGGGGAAGAGAGTGCGCTTTGCAAGCTGGAAGAAGGGCATATAGCACGAGGAGGCTCGTCGAGGGAAAAATAGAGACGGAGGACTCGAGGAGAGCCGAGGTAAGACACGCATCAGGGCAAAGAAAAACCCAGGAGAAACGAGGACGAGAGCAACGGAGGGGTGGAGTTGTATGCATGTTCCTCCCCCCCACCCCTGCGCGAGAGAATATCTGGAGGGAGTCGGTGATAGGGGGTTGGCTGTCGCTCGGCTCCTCTCCCGACCAATCCACCACCGGGTTGGCGTAACATACAACTACTGCCATGCCTGATGTGCACCAACACCACACCCTCGACTCTCACGACCCACCCACCCCCCCGGGATGGAGGTATACGAAGAATATACCCTCGCGCGCAGGCAGCCGCTACACTATAGACCACGGTGGTGGTGGCGCTAAACCTTGTCGCTCGTACATACATATATTTATATATATGAATAGGCGGACTGTAGCCATACACGGCACCCCTCTCTTCTCGAGCTGACGCTTGTTATTGAATTAGGCTTATCATTTGATTTTGAGGAGCACCGCCGGCCGGTCGTATAGCCTCTCTCTACTCGGCTTGCGCCTAGTTTTTGCGTGTATCGAGTACTCGCCGCTGGATACACCAGCCCCCCGTGCGTCGAGTATCGCGCGTCTCCGTCTCTCCTTGTCCATCGCAACGGATGGGCCAGCGAGGTACAGCCGGGCTTGGAAAAACACGGGCGCCGATTATCAAGAATAATTTGATCCGCGTCCCAAAACCTCTCCGATAAACCGCGGGATCGCAGCCCGACCCCCCAACCAGCCGATACTCCGTGTTTAGCGGCAGAGCCGGTTGCCGCGAAGGAGAGGAGAAGACGACTCTACCGGCACATCGCCCGGGTGGTCACAGGCGCGCGGTTCGTTGTCGTGGCTCGCGCGCGGCCAGTCGCGACCGAGTGCCATTTTTTTTTTCTTTTTTTCCTTTTTTTTTTTTTTTTTTTTTTTTTTTTTTTCCCCCCTTGCCCTTGTTTCTCGTCACCAGAATCGTTGTTGCGCGTGGGTGCAACCGTTGAATCAGCTCGTCGGTTGTCCTCGATGGGCCGATGGCCAAGTGTGTGCTACTGACAAGATTCATACGAGTATAATAATAACTGGTGATGGACGCGAGTGAGTTGTTGTTTGTTTTTTTTTTTTTTTTTTTTTTTTTTTTCATTAGAGGTTTTTGGTTCTACGGTGTGACCGGAAACTGACGTGGAAGCTGGAATCTCATTTTTGTGCACTACACCCGTGGACCAGAGATGCCGCGTTGGGAGAATTAACGGACCAGGTGCTTTATTGCCGATCGTTTGGAAGGACTTTTTTAGGTGAGACAATAGCTTCTTTGGATTTATCATCTTCGATTGCGTCGAAGATTTTTATTTTTTACTGTTTGAAAATCATCAGCAGTTTCGTTGACGATTCGTCGGTGCTTAACAGTGTACAAATGACACGTAATTTTATTTCCTTGATCACATATTCTTACCGTACCGTTGACACAAATATTTAAAACAGCCCCTGTTGACTATTGAGAACAAAATGCGTTTATTTATTAACGAGGAAACAAAAGAATTCCATCTATTTCTCATTCATTTGATGAAACGTGTAAAAATGAGGATTAAAATTTGTCATTGTTCGTCGTGTACTAGATTTGGAGAGCGAATTTTCGTTATGCTCTACTGATTGATCGTTTGAATTAAACTGATTACAATAATGTAGATCTATTAGATTAGAAAATATGTTGACGCTCTCATTGGAAGATGGGGTTCAAGAGATTGGAAAAACATGGCACACCGTGGGATTTGTACCAGTTTTCCAGTTCTCCTAAAATTCATAGTAACAAAACCACACTTATTAAAAGTAAATATCTACCGATTGAATAGTTAAAAAAAAAAAAAAAAAAACGGAGCAAAGAGTAAATTTCGTCACTTTCATTAGCCAAAGTTATTGAAACTCTCGTTTACCCGGACAAAGAAAGCAATATAATTATATTTTCAAACACCGCGCGCTAATATATCGGTTGAAATTAAGTTTCTTTCGCACGCGAATCACATTACAAACACCTCGTTCAGAAAGCATCCGTCCATTTTGATGGAACCCCGTTTTCTCTTGTCCACAGCAGAGCCACCTAATTGTACAAGACCGCACTCCCCAAAACCCCTAATCCTCGGTCATCGGCAACAAAAAAAAGGGTTGAGGCGCACCAAGAAGCAGGTGGGCCCCGCGAGATGGACTACTCGTACCTGAACCAAGCGGCCGCGGCCGCGGCGGCGGGTTTCGAGCCCTCGAGTTGTGCCCTGGCCTCGGAGATCCAGTGCACCGGTTACGGCGACCTGAGCAGCTGCTCCCAGATGAGCCAGGCGGCGTATCGTTACAGCGCGGCGCGAGCGGCCGCCGTGGCTGGCTACCCGACGGGAAACGCCGGAGCAACGGGGGCGACGGGCACCGCCGGGGCTGGGCCTTTGGGGGCCCATCACACCGGTCACCCGCACGCCCACGCCCACCACGCCACCCACGCGGCCGCTTGCTCGGTCATGGCTGCCAGGGGCCAGGACGTCATGCACAGACACGCGGCTTCCATCTTCCCGTCGGCCATCAACTTACAAGGTGACACTGGTTTTTCTTTTCTTTTCTCCCCCCCCCCCTCAACCTCCACACTTCGTTTTGTTTGCTGCACTTTGCCCTACAATGCGTACAAAAGTTAACATTTTTCTCATCCATGATAAGAATTTTCAGAACTTTACGCTGCACCAAGTATAATGAACAATAGTTCAAAACAATGTCAAAAGACAGTGTAAAAGTGGTTGGCTGCCGTGTATTGAACACGCTTGTATTTGTTCACTTTCTACAGCCTTATTGTACATTCAAAATAAAAAAAAATATATAAAAAAGTGTTTAGTTCAATATAACTACAGGGAACGTAGTTTAAAAAACATCGATTTAAATACGTGCTTTAAATGTGTACTTTGGCACACTTTGATCAATCGTTCAAGTAAATTCGATGTAGATCATTATGACATATAGTCGTATGGGCGACTGCCAGGTGTGTCTGACTAAAGCATGTTAGTACTACTTGAAACTAATTTAACTGCATAGGAAAACGTTTCCAATATAGTTTTAACGTATAATTGACTTTATAGTGCAAATAAATTCGATGTAGTTTATCATACATAGTCGTACGTGCGAGTGCCAGGCATGCCTGACCAAAACCTGTTCGTACTACTTGAAACTAATTTCACTGAGCGGTAAAACGTTTTTAACATAGTTTTTACTTATCATTGACAATTACTCACTTTTTATGTCCTTGGAAAAAAAAATTGTTCAGTTCAATAGATCACGTGATGCAGTTTATGAAACATCGATTTAATTACGTGGTTTAAATATGCACTTTCACACTTTGATCAATAGTTCAAGAAAATTCGATGTAATTTATTATATATGTAGTCGTATGGGCGACTGCCAGGTGTGTCTGATCAAAATCTGTTCGTACTACTTGAAACTAATTTAACTGCATGGGAAAACGTTTTTAACATATTTTTAACGCATAATTGACACACATCAATTTGAAGTGCAAATAAATTCGATGTAGTTTATCATACATAGTCGTACGTGTGAGTGCCAGGCATGCCTGATCAAAACCTGTTCGTACTACTTGAAACTAATTTCACTGAGCGGTATATAAAACGATTGTAATGTAGTTTTAGCGTACATCATTGACTATGATTTAATAGTCTTTAATGCTTAGAAGCCGCCATTAAATTTTATCATAAGAACCTCGGCATAATCGATCCTCCGATGAATTCTCTTTGGTTCACCGAAAAAGTTAGCCAATGCGAACACAGTTTCAACGATCGTCTCAAAAGTCCATCCACTAACACACGAAAAAGGAAGGAGCCTCGGAGTATATCCCATCGCGCATAAAACCCTCCTACAGTGCACGCATATATATATACACAGGAAAGAGAGCAAGGGTCTCCCCACGGACGACAAGATGGCACTGAAAATCAATGGACGTGTTGCTACTCTATCTTTCTTTCTCTCTCTCCCTCTCAGTCATTGCTATGGTTACGTCCCTCAAACGCCGACACGCGCGCGCGGGGATGCGAGACCAGTCCTTCCTATGTATATACACGTGCACACTCCAAGCGGCAAAGCCCTCCCCGGCTCTCCCGTGCCTTCCTTTTTCCTCGTCTGAGTATATACGGGTGCGTATGTACTAAAACACATCGCTCCTCTCTCCTCCACATCCCACCCGAGACGGAGCGCATCGAGTCTCGCCTACTTCTTTCCTCTTCCATCTTCCTATAACTCTCCCGGCTACGAACATTTTTATCCTTGAGAGTTTTCCTTAAAAAATTTTTCTCTCTCGTAGCAGCTATGCGTACATCTGTTTCTTCAAAACTAATACATACTGTCGGTTCGTCATTGAGGTTTCAATGGACACAATTGTTCATGTGATTTAAAACTTGGGGTACACGTAGAAGATTGATGCAAAAATTCTCGTGAAGCGAGAGAAATGAAGAAAAAAAAAAAAAAAAAAAAAAAAAAAAAAAATGAAATTCCAGGTGGTCTGGGTTACAAAGCCTACGGGAGCCACGACGGGCTGGCGGAGAAGCGCAAGCAGCGCCGGATACGAACGACCTTCACGTCTGCCCAGCTGAAGGAGCTCGAGCGTGCCTTTCAAGAGACGCACTATCCCGACATATACACGAGGGAGGAGATAGCAATGAAGATTGATCTGACAGAGGCTCGGGTACAGGTGAGTCCGACCCACACTTACTTCTGCATCGTTTGGCTCCTTCATTATTCAAATAGCCGGTGGGAGGGGGGGGGGATATTGCTCTCTGGACCCATAAAATATGTAATTCCGATGTATCGGTGGTGCATGGATGCTATACTCGTCCGCGTGTGTACACGTTGTACACGCGTAAAAGCTTGCCGCGGGGAAGGTGGCGGTCCCAAGAGAGGACGTCCAGTGCATCCGGGACGAAAGGGGGGTAGGTGAGGAAATTTTAACGTAGTTCGCACCCGAGACCACCACACCCGTTTGCGTTTTCTCGATGATGGATTACAGGGTGTTTCAATGTTTTCAACTTTTTTTTTTTTTTTTTTTTTCTGCTTGATTGACTTTTTGTTTCAGCACTGAAACTTGATAGTTTATGGTTCATCAAAAAACTCATTTCCCGTAAGAGTGTAGATTGTGCGAATTTCCGATAAAAATTTCCATTAACAACAATACTCCCGAGCGATGCCCCCCGTAGCTGGATGGAGGAGGGGGAGAAGAAAACGCGCAAAAAAAAAAAAACAAGGGTCAGAGTAAGAGAGGGAGAGAGAGAGGGAAAAAGATTCGTCCTCGGCTTAATCGGATTACGGAATGACGCTTTCTCGGGAGGGAAAGAGTGGGGCGAGCCACCTACGTCTTCCTTCCTTCCTTCGTCTCTGGAAGGGCGCACCTGCCGAGACGCTTGATGGATTACATTGGCCCGCATTCCTGACGGATCATCGCGAGAGGATTCCTCCACGACTCCTCGCGCACAACAAGCGCCCCTCCACTGTGCACACAGACCCGGCGAGGCTTGTGCACGAGAACTTTGTTTATCTTGTTTCCGTCACGAGATCGACGTCCATACATTTGCTGTTTCGCCGTGAGATTAATATGGTACAGGTGCAACTTAGAGGGAAAAAGGAACATCGCCACGGCCACTTTTTTTTTTTTTTCACCCCTGGAGCATCACGCAACGAAACGTTACGTTTGCATTGTCTCAATAAAGTCGCTCGCTAATCTCACCGGTACCCCGCCTATTTCGCGCTGCATCCGTTTGGTCATGCATAATCTAAGTTTCCGCGACAATAATACCCACGGTGGGGTTACCAAGACTCGGGTACATGTATATACAGTGGATACATACATCCACGAATCCGTGCCTCGGGCTTTTCTATTTCCAAGCGCTTCTAATCGGACGAAAATATATCCACACGCCTATATACGTTGCTATTCCGTGCGGCACTCGGCAACTATGTAGAACTGGAATTCCACGGCGCTTCACATCCATTGGTATGGCTAAGTGTGCATGGATATTAATTGAAGGTTTACAGCGAATTAAATCTATATACAAACTCCCGCAGTTGAACTGCAACTTTACGAGATTTCCTAGAAATCGCACTACTCGAAAGTACGAATAAGAACAAAACAGAGTTGTATGTATGATAAGGTAAATATATATAAACTCTTTGTTTTTTATCCATAAAAATGGCACAAACCTTTTCCCTCGGATGCGATATTTACGTGAATCCAGGGTAAGTACACGAGGTAGACTCAGGTTTCAATGATGCACAGCATCTCTCTTCGTAGCTCACCTATATATTAAGCGCAGTACATATATATGCGCACAGCTCGAGAGGGGGGGGGGACGCTTCCGTCTGGCCTCGCGGCTAATTACATTTGGGCTTCCTTCGCAGCCCCTCCCTCCCCCCTCACCACTACGCTGCCAAAGATGGAGGATAAAGTCGTCGCGCGTCCTCTCGATAATTCACGAGCCAGAGCACGCCGATCCATTCATCCTCGGAGCGGAACGCGTTCATTGTATATACTTGCCCTGTACACGTACAGGTCTCTCTCTCTCTCACTACCGATGCTGTGTAATCTATATATATATATTTATTTCAAAGAGATATGTATTAATGGCCCTCGTTAGAAGGAACAGAGCCCCACTTGCCCGGAGAGTCGCGCGCGCGTAAGTAAATAACACTTAGTTTGCTCCGAGGGCGCGCGCGTGTGTATACGTCCCATTGATTTGTGTTTGGCCTCTGCCCGCACTTTCTCTCGTTTATCCTACTATTTAACTTTTACTTTTACTTTGTTTCGTGTACTTTTTTCGGGGGGAAGAAAGATTTTTCACTCCGTTATTTTTTCTTTCTTTCCTTTGTTTGTTTCCGAGCGCGTCTGACCAAACTTTGACTTGTACTACTTTGAAATTGGGTGTTTTGTTTTTTTCATTCGCCCTTTCGGTGATTCTTACGGTCAATTAAGAACCGATTACTTGATTCATATGGCGACTGTCGCTAGGGCAAAACATAATCTTACGTAAAACGCTACAATGGCACGGAATTACGTAACGCCGAGGTGTCATCCAACGGACGCTTCGCTAAAGAGGACGGAGAAGCGGATGGCTGGATTTTCCTGTTTCTCCCTGGCACCGTAGAACGTATAATATATAATATTTTAAATTACGTCGCTATTTCTCCGGCTTGAGCTGTGCATGGAAGATTCATGAATCACGCCGTGCTCCATGTGCCGGGTGAAATTATAAACCGAGTAGGGACGAAGGAGGGTGATTTTTTTACCTTTTTTCTTAATTAAAAAATAATTTTTACTTTTTTCGTACAACCCCCCGATTCATCAAGGGAAGCGCGTGCATCGACAGAAAAATGACAATGAGTCGCTTTAATTTCTTCTTTTTTTTTTTTTTTTTTTCGCTACGAGAGGGTGCATCAATGATTCAGCGGGTCATCAACTGACACGCCGGGAGTTACGTTTATTTCGGATCGCGCGATTTTTATTGACCCCGTGCTTTTACTGCTTTTCGAGTGTTGTTTATTATACACACACAACGGGGGTGCAATTACGCGCCGTGCAAGCGCAAATGATTGGACAAGGGGTTCGTGACGATTTTTCCCCCCCCCTTTTTTTTTTATTTGGGAAATAAATTCTGACTCCTCGCTTTTGTTATCGATGCCGTTTGTCTGTGTAAACACTCCGTACACCTGTAGTTATCAACAGTTATTTTACAACGGTGCGATGGGAAATTTGTTTATTTGCTTCAACGAAATTATACATCATTCCGTAAAATCCAAAACAAAAATCACGGGGACGCGTTGATTGACAATGAAACGAACAAAAAACAAAAAAAAAAAACACCAAAAAAACGTGTCAGATGTGGCAAGCAGGGCCACCAGTAACAATGGCAAGAGGCGCGCGCAAACCGAGTAAGAAAGGTACTCCCAAGTCATAAGGAGGGGGGGGGGGTGTAATAATGGCACTGGAGCGTTCCGATTAATTATCCAGAGCCACTTGCGGTCAGCTATCTCGCGACCGCCATTACCGTACGTATTACCAACCGCCCTCTATTTTGGCTCGCTCGCGCGTACTACGCCTCTTGTTTACGTATACACGTGTAGGCCGGCCCTTTCATCGCCTCCTTGTTTGCCTTACTACCTACGACTATTGTACGGTTCACTCCTGTGTAACGATGGGTACTGCCTCTTGGGGGTTTTTCTCCTTAAAATATAAACTGTTGCGTATACACGTGTCCTTGTGTCGTTTACCACGGCGTATATGTTACATATACGGATATGAATAAGTTTCGCAAAGCCCCCCAAATTAATTTAATTTTAAGTGAATTTTCGAGCCACTCTATAAGGAATCATCCAAAGACATTAGAAAGGGGACTAAAAAATCGTTTCTTGGTGTCAACCTTCATTTTAACCCTTTATCTTCCAGAACAACATATGCAGCGCATAACCAATTGCGGAGCGAATTTTTTTTTTCATACATGTCAGATACATGTGGATCAATCGTCATTCATTGTCCAGCACTTGAAAAATCTACATTTCCTGGGGAATAAAAAGAAATGTATACACTTGGACTCGGTAAAAAAAAGGCTCTAGACTTTGTTCATCGTAAAACCCGCACACTTTAATCGATCCCTAAAATACGCACATTCGGAGTAATTAAATTACACCAGCAGCCGAGGAAGCGAGAAACAGAGATACCACCAGCTCCTTTGGTTCCCATTGCCGTCCAACAACTGCAGGCCCGAGCGCTGCTTGATTAAATTTAACAATAACGGCTCGAAAACTGCAGGCAGGCGAGTAGCGGGACATAATTTATGCGCGCATCTCCCCCTTCTCGGTTGAACACACGAACAAGAGCGAAAGGAAAGGATGTAACGGGGGGGGGGGGGGGAGGATCGCGTACACACAATCACCGGAATATTAATTTTGTTATTCCGTATGCCGGAATCATCCATGCATCGTGCCCCTATAAATCAACCTCTTGCGCGTAAATCACGCGTTTAATATATACGTACAAGCGCATACACGCGTGTTGTACATTATAATCTATTTTCGATGTTTATCTCGTTTGGGAACGCCCACGTGTGTAATCTCACATTGTAGTTGTCTGTATATTCACATGATGGCCCGTTTGTTTGTTTGTTTGTTTGCTGTGCCCCTCGTAGAGCATAATATTGTATTGGTATTAGAGTGCAGTAAGCAAGCACAACTATATAATATCTACTTGAAGTTGGAAAAATCTAGCAACCCACATAATGTTAGCCAAATTAAATTTCTCCTCGGCATTGGTTTCCTTTAATTGATCCCTTCTTTTTTTTAACTCGAAACTACTTGGGAAAAGTAGCGGTTTTGCGATTTGAGAGCACATTGATGCGCAGAAACAAATCGATTTCTTACTTCCCCCACCCCTGTAAATGTGAAAAAAAAAAAAAAAAAAAAAAAACAAGCGAGACACACCCTAAAATGATTACTCGAACGTATAAACACGTCAATCGCGAAAAAGAGCAACACGCGCACGTGGCCATCAAAAGCCTCCATAAACCACTACACCGTCCCCGACGTACCTATAATATCATATAGTACACCAACGCCTATACAAACGAGCATTGCACTCTAATGGAATTGTAATTCACGCTTACGTATACAATGCACACGCGTACGCGCAAAGGGAGTCTCTGCTGGTGT